AGAGGTGCTCCTGGAACACCAGAACATGGAAGCAGCATGGATGCAAACGTTGCACCACATATAGGAGCATCTGCAAAGTTCAAACATGAAACTGAATCTTCCATGTATTCCAGGTCAGAGGGCGACTGAGGCGTAAGAAAAGTCCCCAGTGTCAGTGCTGAAAAAGTCAGCAGTAGCTGAGCGACCCAATCCCGTCCAGGCCTTCGAACCCACAACGCTGTCACACCGCGTCTCCGTCGAACCCGCCGCGCATGGCCCGGAGCTCAGCCCGGCCGTTCAGCATCGACTGTCCTTTATTTAGCAAGGAAGAGGAGCTCAAACAAAGGCCCGCCCCTGACGGGCGCTGCAGCACGTGACTCATATTTGATGGCAGAGAGAGTCGGAGCTGGGAGGCAGAGCCGCTCTCACCCCGCGACTCTCCCTGGGAGCGGGGGCAGCCCGCAGGACTGCTGCCGCGGCACATTCCTGTCCGCTCCGCTCTGCCCCGGGAGGAAACGCCGTGCATTAGCATCACATGCTAACGGAGGCGCGCGCGGACACGGGGAAGGCAGAAGCAGTCACGTGTTGCCTCCCGATAGCCAGTGAAGCTAAACATCAGCTAAAAAAACAGAAAAAAAAAAAAAAAAAACAAAGAAAAAAGTTTTTTGAAGTTGGAACTGAGTTGAAAAGACATTATTTTTAAGTGATACCAGTTTCGGAATGTTCTCCAAACTACAGGGACTTTGTGTTGTATAATAAACTGAATGAGAGCTAAAGCAAATACAGCTCTTTAACCTTTTTTTATGATTTTCTGAGACAGACCAACATAAAAGTAGTGTATAATTATGAAATGGCAGGAAGGATGCAGGCATTTCAACAGTTTTTTTTACAAGCTCTTTGTAAAAGAATTTGTAAAAAAAAAAAAAAAAAAAAAAAACACGTCTTTTTTTACTTCTCAAGTGTAAGGTTGCAACATGAAAGAAATGTGAAAAAGGTTTATGAAAACAAATGCACAATCAGTTGTACGTGTGAAAGTTTCATGACTGGGTTGGCAAGCCTGGACTGGTTGTGACACAACCTTTAATAATTAGTGGGAAAGAGGTTCAACTCCTGCTTGCACAATGGGCACGGCATTCGCCAACTACTGTCTGTCAGTCTCAATAAACCTGAACTCCGCTCACAGTGGGCGCTCCGCCGCTCGATGGCCTCCACTGGCACACTTCGTTAATTAAAGAGGTGAAAACGAAGGCTGCCGAGTGGATCTGTCAGCGCCCACGAGTCTGCTGCCGCTATTGGTGTTTATTTGCTTTTAATACGTTGGCGAAGTGAACCAGGAAATACATTGTTAAAGCAACTATCACTGATTTTCTTATTGATGTTTTCAACCTATTTGCTGCTAAATGACAGTGGGGAAAAAAGACTTCCAGCTGTGGTCAGACTGTCAAGCCGTCTTCCGTTCTGTAATACACCAAGATTATCTGTTCCTAATAAATTCTCCCTCCAGTAGACCAACGTATAATAGACATCTACATGACGTCTGTCATGAAACATGTTGGAAACCTTTAAGAAGTTTGAGTTCAGGTAAGGGTTTATTTTTCTACAATAAACACAAAGAAACTATTGTTTTTGTGATGCAGACAGTAATAAGCTAGCCCTAAGCTAGCATGACCATTGCCTTTCTGCACAAGTCCACTGGATTCTCATCTCCATTTACTGGGATTTCTCCATTAAAGGAGACGTTCACCTCAACATTCGGTTAGCGAGCTGATCATTACACAAGTCGTGGTCGAAACATTAGCAGTGAGATTAAATTTAAAACTTCATCGGATTCCATGCGTCTAGGAAACAATCGTCCAGACCCTACAAAGTTGTTTTTTACCAGGCTAGTGCTAAGAGGCAAAAGACAGTTTAAAATGTCAACTCTGCAATTATACTGTGACTACCTTCCTTAAATGCGCCGTGGGAAACTCAACTACACTGATACAATACTACTTTGCACACTATTGGCTGCCATTTACAAAGCAACCAATGCAGGAGAGTCATTTATTTTTCTCGTCATCAACTGGCTGTAGCAACGAAATTGAAGATAAGACAGACTATAGACGCTTGCTTCTGCAGTTGTGCTAGGATGATTTCCACCTTGTGTATTAATGCATATTAAAACATATTTGGTGTTTGAACTATTAAAATAAGCAGTTATGAGTGGCTTTAGATAGGGTCTTATGTATTTGAGGATTTCCAGTTTTTGTTAGTGGCTGTGCTCCCTAAGAAGAATACCACAGCTGCACTCATTAGTCCAACCTGAGGAACGAGTTTGCCCAATTTTGCTGCTCAAAGACTGTTCTAATCGGTAGTGAGGCCAAGATAGAGTTTTGCGTTGTAATCAAAAAGTGTTACACACGTCACAGCAAATCATTGCTTCTTTCAGTCGTGTCATCCTCTGTTGCGACACCCCACAGCAGCACAACTCCTAGAAACTAAAACTTTGCAAAGTTATGAAACTGTAATTTCAGTCGGCGCGTGGGAGGAGAAAATGGACCGCAGTCCGGAGGAGGAGGCGCATGGAGGCGAGCAGGATGATGCAGGCAAAGCGTCGGGCAAAACTCATTGATCAGGGAGAAAAAAAACCAAACAAAAAGCAAACGAAAACTCTTCCTCCCTCGCTCTCGCTTGTTCTTCCACTTCTGCTTCACGATGCTGCTGTTTAATAAACCAGAGGAGGCTTCCTGATGACTCAAAGACCGCTGCAGACCGGGAACTCACGACCAGATAATGTATTCACAGCGTCACTCCACCGGCAGACGCACTTGCTGAGAGTTATCACCAAATATAATCTTCCTGCTTTTCTCAAAAGACGGTGTGGAGTTTAAGAAAAGTTCTGTTTGCTGGTGAGCTTTTCTTCTTCATGCTGCATCAAGTCAGAACTGAAGACATTAAGATATTCAGCTTTAGTGAAGATGAAATAACACTGCAGACCATTTGCGGGGCTCCTAATCAAAATGCTCTCAATAATTTTCCTGACTCAAATATTCAGATTTCTCTGCCAAGTATTTCACTTATTGGTAAATAATAAACTAAAAAGTATTGAACAAATAGGACATTTGTTCAAAATAGAAAATAGGATTACAAATAAAATATCAAATTTAACATCTGTCAGTTCTCTAAACATCTGGTTTATGTTTTCTGGGCTAATCCTGCTAATCTATCACTGACAGTCAGATATGAGTCAGCTCAGGTGAGGACAATGACTCAGTTGCTGGTGCCTCCCTATTTATCATGCACAACTTATCATTTTGTTTACAGTGAACAAACTTCCTAAAGTATTACAGTAATTAACTGAATCAGGAGATAGCGATTTGTTAGCATTTCCTAACAAATCGCTAGAAGATTTTCTGTTTATAAAATTATTCTAACTACTCCGACTGCACTCGTTCAATAAAAATAACTTGCAGACACTTAAAGTACAACTCCGCGATGAAGCGTTCTCTTAATAAAGACTTTATTATCCGAGTGGATGCTAATGACGTTAATAAGTTGTTCGATGCGATTTTGTTCAGGCTGCAAAAGAGCGAGAGAGAGCAAGACTTTGTTTGAGTTTTCTATCTCTTTGTTATGAAGCTTGTTAAATTACAAAGACATTTTCATATTTCAAAGATAAGATCAGGTTCAACATTTTCTAATTTACGCAAGGCAGTGGCAACTATTTTAGCGATGCTAGCTGAATTACTCTTGCTATTAAAAATAGTGTGTTGTACTCTAGAGCTGTCTTTAAGACTGCACGTTCAAAGTCTTTGGTTTTGGCTTGGATTAGATTAGAGGTTTTGACTACAACTCTACAAAACATTAAATAGCTTAAACTGTCGAACTTTGTAATCGTTCTTTGTAATTTTGCGAAGAAAATTGCAAAGAAAATTAAAGTCAAGTTTTGTTTTGGAGCGGCTGTTCTCTCACGACCGCAAACTTTGTGCTTTTCGTGAGAAAAAAAAAAACCTTCTAAGCGTTCTTGTGTCAGCCTACAGGTCAAAGCTTGAGCCGCAAAACTCAAACTCAAAAATTTGGTTTCTGGGAAAATGAGATTCGACTCTAACCACAACAAAGTCGTGCTTTTCCAAGAGTTTTTAAGAGACCGAACCGAGCCTTCATGCAAGGAGAGAGGGGAGAAAAAAAATAAGCCTTTAAACCCTCCATAAAGACAAACAAGGAGTCACATGTGCTCCATCTATAGCAGAGACGTGCTGATGGACCGATGTGGCGGATTAATGTGAAAAGGGACACGTGAACTATACGACTGTAGTTCTAGGCGTAATGCAAGTCTCCTTTTAGTGCAGAGAGACAATTATTGACGGTGCCATCTTAAAACTGTTAAAACAAAGGCTGTCTTTGTAGGAGTCTTAAAACAGACTTCAGTGTGGAGCAGATTAGGAGGGTGAGGAGGTCTCTTGTAGTCATGACCCCAAAGTGAAAGGTCCCCTCAGACTGCACTCCCCCCCTCATCCCCCCTGAAGAGAAAAGATCTTGTCTAATTTCAGACACAGGGACGACTAACTGAGCCATCCTTTGCGAGGGATGAGGACACAGGGGCCCTCTGCAGGACACAGGCACCACAACAAGAGAGCTGCAAACTCCAGAATCACCTCAACCTACAGATTACATTGGCAGAAATAAAAACCCCGGCCTGCAGCAGAGCACAGTAACTCGGAAAAAAAAAGAAGCTTATTCCAGCTATTTTGCACAAGTGAAAAAAAAAATCAATCAAAAAAATAAAGTGAAATTTCAGTCGGTTGCTTGCTCTCCAGGCCTCGGGTTGTCCAGATGCTTTGTGCGGCAGAAGCACAAAAGAGCAACTATAAAAATAGGTGAGCAGGACACACCTTCACCTTCACGAGCTTCTATTTACCGAGGCTCGCGCCGAACAGAAGCAGGGCACAACATCGCCTGCAGATAACTGGATATGTATATATATGTTTCTCTACACACACACACAGGCTATACATACACATATACACACACGGAGACCCTACCTGAGGAATTCTTGCAGACAGGTGTCACAGAACCGGTGTCCACAGGTGGACACTTGGACGGGCTCGCGCATCGCCTTGCTGCAGAGCGGACACTGGAAGCGTCTCTTCGGCTTCTCCAGGAACTTGTAGTCGAAGCCGGGCATGTCTGCGGGGCTCGCGGTCGCTCTTTATCCCTCTCTCTCGGGGCCTTCGGGGTTTAAAAAAAAAAAAGATACAGCTGATACCCTCTTGTTTTGTTTGTTTGTTTGTTTCCCCTTCTGGGAGCAGGGAGCTGTTTGGGGCCGTTTTAAGGCGAAGAGCAGCTCACGTCAGAAGCCTCGGAGCTCTCGTCCTCCGCCGCCGCCGCTCTTTCCCGATAGAGGACAGCAGGAACGATGCCTCCTCCCCTCCCTCCGCTGGGTTTGTTTGGACCGGCCGGGCGGGCTCTGTCGGCTGCGCTGCGTGCGGGACTGACACCCTGAACACAATGCATTACCCTTACCGTCTGTTGAGGTGAACATGCAGCTCCTCCTCCTTCTCCTCCTCCTCAAAGCGGGAGGAGTCGCCTCGTACCTCCGCCGCCTCTCCTCCCAGATATCTAATTAGACTTTTCTCGCTCATATTCACCCGACGCGCGGTGTCACAAACGCTCACCTGTGAGAAAACGTAGCAGAAAAAAGGCAATAATAAGCAAAAAAGCGAGGTTTTGACTCAAACGCATCCAAGCGGGCGTTAAAGAGGGACAACTGCGCCCTCTAGTGGCGGATAAATGCGCCAACTCAATCTTAATATTAGTGATTTCTGTTCTGGTCCAGCACCTGCGCGCTTTAAATCCACTCCAGCCGACATTGCCGCGGTTGATCTGAAGCACAAACGCGGCAGATGTGAGGCGGGGGAACGGAGGCAGGCCGGCGCTCAACCCGCTCACACATCTGGATCACCTGCTGCATTGGCTCCGGATTACATCACCATTACATCACCGGGACAAGGACAACAATGGCAGCGGGGCCATGTCCTCACAAAGAGAAGGAGTCTCCGAGGAGGAACATGAGCCTGGAGGCTGGGAGGAAGAATCCATCTCGGCCAGCAACAAACACCTGCAAGCTTGGGATCAGAATATCCATTTCTCCAATGCCAAACCAAAGAATTCATTAGGACCAGACGTTTCAATGAATTTGATTTGGGATTTTATTCAAAGGAGAACCAGGAATGTGTAAAATAAATAAATAAATAAGAAAATAAAATCAGTTTTATATAAAGTACAACGTTTGCGAAGCACACGTTCATCTAAACAACAGCAAAAGCAAAAAAAAAAAGATAAAAAACATTTTTGGAGTCCCAGAAAAAATGGAAGTATCCCTGAAAGTCTTGTGCTGAGATAATTACCGGGTTATGGTGTAAGAAAACCCGTCATAGGAAGCAAAGAGCTCTGAAAGCAGAGCGGAGTACAATGACCCCAAGCATGCTGCCAGAGCGACAATGAAATAACTTAAATCAAAGACTGCTAACATGTTCTGAAATCCAACTGGAAATCTGAAGAGGCGAAGAATCATTATTTGCAAATACTGTTCATCCAGTCTGACCGAGTTTTAACTGTCTTATAGGGTAAAGTGGGAAAATCGTTTGAAATGTTTTGCACATTAGATTTTGTCAAAGGTCATAATTGGAATCAACATGCAAATAAGTTGATCAATCTTCCAGTTATTATGAAGAAAATCAGTTGTTTTTTTTTGCCTTGATTTAAAGGAACTCAGTGTTTCAGCTGTTTTGCAGGTTTCTGGAAGTTTGTTCCAGATTTGTGGTGCGTAGAAGCTGAGTGCTGCTTCGCCGTTGTTTGGAGGTTTTGACTCAACAACAGCAGAACTTTAATGTTTTGTGGTGCTAAGTCCTTCAATGATTTATAAACTAACAACAGCATTTTAAAGTGTGCTCTATGAGCTCCAGGGATCCAGTGGAAGGACTTTAGATCTGAGATGATGTTCTTTGTTTTCCTAGTTTTAGTGAGAACGTCAGCAGCAGCAACGTAGATCAGCTAAAGAGTTTCTTTAGATCTTGCTGAGACTTTAGTCCTTTAATCCTGGAAATGTTTTTCAGGTGACAGAAGGCCGACTTTGTAACCGTCTTTGTGTGACTTTGAATGTTAAGGTCAGAATCCATCACATCACCCAGATTTTGGGCCTGATCGCTGGTTTTTAATTGTCATGACTGAAGCTGACTAGATCGTTCGTCTTTAGGGAATAACTTGATCTCTATTTCTGTTCAGCTGGAGAAAGTTATGGCACATCCACAAATCGATTTGTTCTAAGCATCTTTATTCTTCATGTCCGCCAAAATACAGACAGGAGAGTCTTCCTCCCGTCAGCCAACAACTTTGGACGATATCAGTTACAGTCTTGCACTACTTTTGTTGTTAAAGTTACAAATTTACAAATACACAAATAAACACTTTGCAATGTAATGTGTTGGAACAAAGCAAATTTTATTAACCCTTATTTTAAAAAAAACGTCAAAAATGCTTCATTTGCACCAATGTTCAAAAACCCTTGTAATCATGCAGTTCAGAAACATGCTGTTTTATACTCTTTACTCATGCTCTATTTCACGTGAAAAAAGATTTTCTTTACTTTCCTTAACTCACTCATCAGCATTCAAATGAATATATTATGACATAATTAAGCAGGAATCAATAATTCACCTTTAAAGATCGAAGTATGAAACTTTAATCTACTCACTGTTACCAGCTGTAGCGGTATTAAACATTAATCACCAGCATAATAAATACGACTGTGGTAATCTGATGTATTATAGATAGTTTCCACACTGTTCTGTTGCTGTTTTCTCTGTAAAATTAATCAGGTCGCGAGTTTTATTTAACTAATTTGAAGCCTCGTGAAATAACAAGGCGCCCTGTTCTTTCACAATGTTTTGCTTTTTTCCGTTTGTCTCTAATCAGCTCAGATCAGATGAAGACGGGATGTTTTCGACGCTCGTTCTGCCCTGCGGGGGGTTTGGGGAGGCTTGTCTTTAAAAATTCAGATGTTTTTGATCTACAGAAGCCAAAGTTGTTTATTCTGTTTAATCTGTTAATTTTTCCACAAATCCAGCTGAAGCCAGTTATTTACATACACTGGATAAAAAGACACAAACACATTTTGTTTCTCATCACTCTGAAGTTAAATCAGCCAACCAAACTTGTCTTGATTCAGGCTTGTCAGTTACCAAAATTACCTCTGTTTGCTAAATGCCGGAAAACGTTTTAGTTTTTTGTTTTTTCTTCAAATCTAAGTTGCGCAGTTTAAAAAGACTGTTATCTACGACCAAAGTATGCACATTTTTGAATTTGAAGAACGTAAAAACAAACAAAAATAATGTAAAAAAAATTTTTTTTGCCGAGTTTTCTGGCACTGAGCAAATAGAAATAATTCGGGTAATACTAAGTAACCCAGAACAAGAAAAGTTTGGTCTGATTTAACTTCAGACACTAAGAAAAACAAAACCCAAAAAAGAAACATGCCTGTGCCTATTTATTCAGTACATGCAAATATCTGGTTTAACTCTATGGGAGGTATGTATTTGAAGACGGAAAGACGTCGTTTTCAGCCTCTCGCCATTTTCATTCTCCGTGGCGTGAAAACCGTCTCAGCTGTTCAGCCAGTTAAAATTCCTACAGTGGAATGAAAACAACGGCATCAATAGTACGTTGTTTACCGCTGTCGGTGGCGTGAATAGCTGCCTGTTTACTCACAGCTCCTTCTATGCTCTGAAGGAGCTGTGAATGTGTCTGAACAAGCGGGGTAACATGTCCCCTTACACTCCCCCCCCCCTCCCCCTCCCACCTGCCCCACTCCCTCCTCATTACCTAGTTTTAACGCTGCTTGTTTGGGTTTGCAGCACAAATCCATTAAAGAGCCCAAAAACCCGACTCCCCTCCTCATGCTCTCGTCTCTTGACTTCATCCTTCATTCTTTCCGTCTCATTCACCCGGCCGTCTTACGAGGGAACAAAACCTGTTTGACTTTCGCTGGCTTTTGACGGCAGAAAGGACGCGTGTGTGGGAAGACAATCGCTCACCACATGAGAAGCGGCCTAATGAGCTGCAGTAATCCAGCTTTGGTATCAGTGTTGCAACGTTCCTGTGGCATGTCTGGAGTGCGATACACCCGTTTCCTCCGACTGGTTCTGACCTTCTGTGTGTGTTCGCCAACCAAAACGAATATTTGTTCGTTAGAAAAAAAACACACGTACACACAAATGCACCGGATGCAGAAGAGGACCGAGGAGGTAATGATTAGGGAAGGTCTCCATCCTATGTGTTCAGCTCAAAGTCATCTAGAACCAGGATCCTCAAACAAAGCTGAAACACAAAAGAGGTAAAGTTAGTACATCTGAAAGAAGCCAATTGATGAAGATATTAGCATCAAGTTTTCTTCAGAATCTAAGTTCAAAAGGACTAAAATATCAAAACTTCAAAACTACATTGTCAAAGTATTCGCACAATTGCTTTCAATCCACATTCGAAGCAAACATTTTATTTATGGTTTCTGTAGGTTTCCACAACTCTAATTTTAGACCTTTTAACACCACTATAAATGAAATTTAAGACCTGTATCATGACAAGATAACCGCACATCTGACATTGTAGTGCCGATCTATTTATTTTTGACCAGTATGTACAGAGCACCGCAGATTGTCAACAGAAGTGAACCGGTGGCGAAGACGAACATCGTCCAGCCAACTGACAATAACTTACGCTTACCATTTATAGACGCACAAAGGCTAGTTAGCAAGCGTTTATTAGCGGCTAGTTAGCAGTAGCTCCAACCACCTCGAGTCAGAAAATGTCTGTGTCTGACTCAAACGTCTTCTCACAACAAAAATAGTCCACACAGAATAAATGTAAGTAGTCCTGTCACAACAAAATTTAAGACCTGTGAACAGCCTATTTAAGGCCAACATGCATTTTTGAAATGAATTCAAGACATCTCCAGGCCTTCATTTTAGATGCATGTAGTTAAGAGGGTTGAGACACCCTGTTATTAGGATTTTATGAGACAGGCCAAAACAATACGGTGAATCATTTTGAAGTAGAAGGAAAAGGAATCATATTTTTGACAGACTACTAAAAAAAAGCACAACACTGGCAAGTCTCTGCACAAGACAAAAAAAAAACACTTCCCAGAAAACCTGCATGTGTCTATGAACCGCTGATTACATAACAAGGATATATAACAACTAAAAATCTATTATGAAAAGTTATATTTAGATGACAAATGAGATTTTTATGGATGCAGTGTGTTGTTGAATACTTTTGTACTCACACCCAGAGAGTTGAAATCAGACACAAACACAGAAATCACTTAATTGTGAAATGGAAGAACATAATCAAATGTTTCCAGAGGTCACTGTGTTTGTGTCTCAGAGTTCAGAGTTGCAGACAAAGCTGCTCGGTGTGGAGCAGACGCTAATCTCCCGTAACGCTGCAGATACGTTCAGTGCAAAATGAGCTCCAGAAGCAGCAGGTAGCGCAGAAGTATTCACGCGCCTGCCTCCGTCCGAAGATGCTTGTCTGCAGTTCAGACGACCTTTCATCAGATTGGTCACATTTCGCCACAGCGTTTCTTAAGTTGGGGCAATAAGCAAAAAATATTACGTTTGACTGCCAGCAGGGTGTTGCCATGACAACAGGCCACCGACGTCACTGCGAACGGGTGGCTCTCGTCAAGCTGCACCGGCTTCGGTATCCCACAATCCTCTTCTTTTCTTCCCAGGCGACCGCGAGCCCCTTTTCCCCATGTGTACACCTCACCTTCTGCCAGAAAAAACACACACACAAAAAAACCAAGAGTTGATCACCTAATTTGTAGAAAAACCTCCTCTTGAGGGACTAATCCACTCAAATCTTTAACTGACAGCTCTGTCTTGGACTCATAATGGCTTCATCTGTAGGAAGTCTGAGCTGAACAAAGCTCTTCTTCGACAAAGAGAGACCTACAGGCACGGCTGGCCTCTCCACAGGGAGCCACTCACTGTCACAATACACCTTTTTACTGTTTTACACCCAACTGCAACAACAAAACCAACAGACAAACAAAAGACATCTGTTGCCCATCTAAGGGCCAACACGGTAAAAGGCCAGTTCCAGTGTATAAATGGATTTATCTAATTAGGTTCGACAAGCCGTGTGCGCCACATAGAGACCAGTAACAACAAAAGAGAGAGAAAAAGAAAGTGTTTCTTTTGTCCATTTCAGCAAATCACTTTTGTTGTGGAGATGATGTTAGTTTGCTGGTGAATGACTAAATATCTGCACACAGAGACAGTTTTAATCTTAGAATATACTGAAATGTTTCATATCAAACAGATTTTAATATCATTTTGTGGTGAACCACTGGGGGGCTTCACTCAATCCCAGACTACAAGATGTTACGGTTTACAGATTGTGGGAGTTTTTGGCGCTTTCCGTTACTCTGTTGTTCTGACTTGGAATTGAGTTAAGACAAGATGCAAGAAAACTGAAAAATTTTCAAACCTTTGTTCACACCATGTGGCTTTTGCCTGCCACTGTCTTCCATGCAGCCCATCACTCATGACAGACACAAATTGGCTAATTGGGAGGTTCTGGGTAAATCCCAGTATGTCAGTCTGACATTTTGGAGACAATTTTTTTAAAAATCCGCCTGGTGTGCATTCATGTTACTGGGTTCATCATGTACGCTGCAACTGTTTCAGAAAAACGAGCTCATGGTTAGCTACGTCAAATGAGGACAATGAAATTGGAGATGGCAGGGTGTATTAGCCGCTAGTTACAGTTAGCTTCAACCGCATAAAGCCATAGAACCCAATGAAGATGTTTGCGCACGATTCAGACTTTTGCCTGACAGAAAAACCCCACAAGGAAAAGGAAAAAAAAGTATGAGAATATACATGATGAAATATGACTAAACCCTAAACTATAAAGAGTAACTCTTAACCCTGGGAGTGAATCGACCAGAACAAATGTGTGAATCTTGCTGTTAAATTTGCTTGATGTTTATGATTTTTGTCACATTAAAGATGCTACACAGATCATCCTCTCACCAGCTCCAATGGCCAGGGTGAAGGCGTCGCCGCAGGCGGCCGAGGTGATGTCCTTCAGGCCAAGCACCTGGTAGGGCACCCGGCTGCTGCGCCGGGAGCTGCAGCCCGTCTGACCGTGCTGGTTGCTGCCAAACGTATAACAACGGCCCTCTTCTGCATATTGAGAGCGAAACAGACAAAACCCAGAAATGATTTCTAACAAAGTGGACGGCTGAAAAATAAGGAGTTGAAATAACAAATGAGACCAAAACTTCTTCATACTCAACAGTGATCGGGTTTCGTTTTTGTGGGAAATAAATAAACCTGACAAGGTCAGACGCTTGCAGGGACAAATCTGTTTCAGGCACGTGAGCATTATAGTAGATTTTCGAACCTGTGACAGCAACAGAATGGGAGGTTCCAATGTCGACGTAAACTATCCTGTCAGAGTTGAGCGGGGCTGACTGAACTGGAGTGTAAGAATGGACTTCTTCAACCTGATTCACGGGATTCGGTTCCTCCCCAGCTGTAATCGTGTCCAAACCAAGTTTGTTGAACCTGAAACAAAAACAAGTTTCAACAAAAGTTACTTATATACAGTCTCATGTAAGTAACAAGCACCACAGGCATGAATTTTATAATAATTTGTCCTGGTTTTTTATTTTGTTTTGTTCTTCTTTCCACTGAAGAAGACTCTTACACATGAGAAAATATTGTGATGTCAAGTAACTCCTAAAAACTACTACTACTTATGTATTTTCCACATAGTAAGTTTGTATTTGGAGACAATTACAACTAATCATCAAAAATTTTGAATTTTCTTTAAAAATTAAAGAAAGCAATGATAAATATTCAAACTCATTTAACAAAATGACTTCAGTTCCAGATAAAGAAAACTAAATAATATGTATATATTTCTATGTATTCAGAATAGCGAAGTGTTTCACAAATAGCCTTATAAAGCGCAAGTATAAACATTACAACAGGATATCTGCAGTTCAGTGGGAAAATTATATCTCAATCACACCTTGTCAACTCAAAAAATATATACATAGATGTATTTTTTTTTTTTTACAAAAATCTCTCCCACCTTTTGCTTTCTTTTTTATGCTTTAAAAAAATCAAAAAGTTTGAAAAAAAATTTCTGACAAAGGATCATAATTGATGCATAAAAGGGATAAAAATCCATGCAAAAAAAAAACCAAACAAATAAAAAAAAAAAACATTGGATTTGAGGAAAAACCAAAAAAAAATCTAAATAAAAATCTGAATTTTGCATTTTCATTGTCTATTTCTGCTCCTTGGTTAAATCACCATTTAAACACACATTAAATGTCCAAAAATCATATAACACAGTGATTATTGAACATAGACATTAAACACAGACTTAAGACTTGACAGAAGTTAAGCGTTTCACCAGACCTCGCTCTCACTCCTCATGACTAACACACTTATCCACATTCTGTCAACAGAAAGAGTTTTGGAGAATGCCGTATCACAGGTTGTACACAGATGAACTATTTCTTTAAACCTTCAATCCATCACCATCTCACACACCCTGATAACATAAACAAATCTGCAGGGTGTAAAACTAGCAAGTCATTGTTCGGGTCGGGGAGCCAGAGCACCAACCTGTTGCTTCCACATGCCAGAATGCTGCACCGCGTGCTGACAACCATGGAGCAATCCACGCCACACACCACTTTCTGAGCCTCGAACTCTGCAGGCAGACACACCTGCTGGGGACTGTTGTGTGTGTCCTGGGTGCCCAGGCCAAGGCGACCTTCAGGACAGAGAGCCAACAATCGCGCCGTCGTCGTAAATCGCTGGTGTTCAAACAGCCTCAAAGACAAACACAAGTGGTTAATTTGTTGTACCGTTGTCTCCTCTTCCCCAAGCAAACACCTCCCTTTCATTGGTCACGGCGACGACGTGAGAAGCTCCGCAGGACACCTGGACCAACTCGTAGCCCAGCAGAGCCTCCACAATCTTAGGCTGCGCACACAAACACAAAACGGGATGAGGCAGGTATCCCACGCTGCGTGCTGAATGATTGAGTTGATGTGTGGAAGAAGCTCAAGCAAAGCGGTACATTGAAGCAAACGGAACGCATTGAGCGTGGATGTAGAGTGACGACGTTTAAAATGTTACAACCTCAGTTGAAAGGACTTTTACTTTCCTAATACTCTATATGTGTGTATACGTCTGACTCCCCAGTGGAGTGTTTAAAGTTTCATTGTCATAAGAAGAAAAAAGCAGCTGAAATCAGGGAACAATTAATGATTTACAGTCATATTCAATAAATTAGAGTATGCGTTAGATTACAAGAACAGTTTGAAAACGACCTTTGCCCAGGTACTAAACATATTTCTGTATTACAAATGTCATTTCTAATGGTGTGATGTCTTATTCCAATATTAAATGTTATATTTTCATTAGCTATAAGTGGAAAATTATCATAATTATAATTAACAGGAACAAAGGCTTTCAAACATCCATCTGTGTGTAATTAATCAATTAATTAATGATTAATCTGACTGCAATTTCAGTCTGACAAATCTAGACTCTCAGAAAAGGTGAGTGGTTGACAGAAATAGTTATTTTTTTCAGTCTACATTCTAAGAGACAAAAAAAGTTATGCACAACAAAAATGTTCATCTTGTAATATCCAGCTTTTAAGAATTTTTTTAAAATTGTATAGTAAATTTAACCAAATTCAACCAATGATTTTAACGCACCCAAATCTCCATTTAGTAAATTGAATGAACTTGAACAAATACAGCAGGTGTTTTCAGAGTTACCCAAATTATGTTTTTGTTCTGATAATAGAATAGACTGCTTTTTTTTTTCTTCGAATGAGTCCCAAAGAATTTACAATTTTTTTTTCATGAGGAAAAAATGCAAAACTTCTTTTTTAGGTTTTGGTTCCAAGATTTAGTTTTACATAAAATTGACCAAAAAAAATTGGACGACTTCAAGTAACATTTTATCAAAATGTTACATGCTTCGCTTCGTTTGCTGTTGAAGAGGTAAAAGAAAACTGACGTTTCTTTTGAAGTGTTTTTGCTCTCAAAAAAGTTGCAGTTTTTGGCAAGTTAGTATTTTTGATTTGATTGCCTTTGACACCCAGGATCTGCATCGAGTGTTTCACTTAGTGATAAATGATTTCTCTAACACATTTGAACGACTATGTGGATAGAAATGTGAAGGCGTACCTGTGTTACATCATTAAAGTTTCCATGTCCCAGACAGCCATTGCTTCCGCTTCCAAATGTCATGATAATACCCCTGTCTGCAAAGGGAAAATAAAAACCGGAGATTAACGGCACTTTTAGTTGATGAGCTGGTATGAACTATTGCACAGGCCAACAGAATTCTCATAATCCCTTTTTATAAAATGTTTATCTATGTCACTCTAATAAAATATAATGAAAAAAGGGAAAAAAACAGAGAAAAGAGTTTTTAATCCCCTCCAGCTTGTGCCTCAGTACTTCCTGCAGCATGAGAGTTTAACAGACCACAACCCAGTCATCAGTTTCCTTTAGTTTCTCTGTTGGGTTCAAAGCAAAAAAGAGCTTGCCAACCTGTCATGCAGGTGGTGAATAGATCACCACAGGACACGGACTTGATGGTGACCCCTGACTGACCCTCGAGGAAACGGGACATGAACAGCGGCTGCATCTGATCCACCAGGCCTGGCAGACCGGCCTCTCCAGACACAACGGAGGGAGCCTGGAACCAGGTCACACACAGAGCCACGCACGCCATCACGCATTGTCCAGAATATTTTGGTCCTACTTAGGTGTTGCTTCATTGCTGCAGGAGGTAACATATATTTTTTAAAAACACGTTTTATTAAATATATTTTTTAAAACTGTTGCTCCTCCGGCTCCTCCCTGTTCTCTTATTCCATTTGCAGAAATATACCGCTCTGCCAGAAACAACCAATCAGAGCCAGGGGGAGGATCTTAGCGCTGTCAATCTTGCTGCTGTAACGTGCTGCTCACAGCCTCCCCTTTGTTCTCCGCTGATAGTAGACAAACGATTTTCCTGGAACTGAAGGGTTTAAATGAAAGAGTTTCCCTGTGTAAGAAGTCCAGATCTGGATCAAACTGAGAAGCTAACAGAATGTGAGCTCTTTTGCAAAGAAGCTAGGGAAACAACTTTAGTTTGTAGATGTGCCCTTGCAGTGAAAAGTATTGATTTAACAGAGGTGAACATAAATTAACAGATTTTTAAAATTATTTTTGCAATGGCCTCAGATGATTCCAATAAAACACTTTTGAGTTTCCGGTTGTCAGGAGAAAAATGTAGGGGACAAAGAATCTGTCCAGCAGAGGACTTCCTGTGAAGCATTTTGTCCCTTTAGGACATGAGGGAAGTGTGAAAGTGGTGTTTTACCTCCCAGGTAATCAGGCGGCCGGACTTGGTGACTCCCATCTTCTGAGTTCTACCCAGTGACACCTGAAGCACTTCTGTGTTCAGCATCGGCAGCCGGAGAGGCGCCGTTATCCCACTTCCCCAGGTATACACGGAGGACAGCGGGAGAGAACACACCTTTCCTGATCCCAGACCCGCAGATGCGTCTGCTTAACGGCAAGAACAAAAAACAGGGATGATAAGAATCACAGAGTGACAGCCGGCCTACACAAAGTCTAATATGACCTCTGGTCCGGTTAGCAGGAACTCTCCCTCCTGGTCTGCCTCGCGGCTGAACGGTCGACAACGGTTTCTCAATCCTGGAAGAAAAAACCCCAAAAAACCCTCATGAGTCTTTGTCACAAATCAGTGCAAATACTTTAATCATTTGTCCGTTGTGTACCGGCGCATTTTCACATTGCCTATGTCTGTGTAGAGATTAAGCAGCGGCCGGATGCAGATGGGCAAAGCCATGATTTCATTGAGCTGGGGCCGTTTGGATGGGTCCAGGTTGAGCATGTTGAGGATGAGCTGCCGGAGTTCTGGGCTGTAGCGGTCCGATATCGGAGCGAAGGTTCCGCTCATGATCTTCAGGACGAGGGCGGGAAGATTCTGAAAGGGAAAAAAAAAAACGAAAACGGATTTTAGATGAAGACAGATCTGAGCTTTAACGAAACATTTCAATAATGAAAGCAAGACCAACTGCAGTGTGCAGCTGCAAAAGCGTAGCAGTCATGTTGGTTAGGAGCGATTCCTGTCCTTTCCGAACACTAGGAGTTTCCACATTAAAGTATTATAAAGCAGTAGGATTATTGTGACTGCATGAGCCAGAAGAGAAGCAGAATGAAGGATTGTTTTCCTACAGCCGCCTCAAAAGCTCTCTTTAGGCTGGCCAGCTCGTACAGGACACAGCCCAGAGCCCAGATGTCGCTCTTCTGGTTGTATGGCTTTCCCTCACACAGCTCTGGGGAGATGTAACAGGGAGTCCCAACCACCTGCACACACACACACACACACACACAGAGCAGCCACTATTAGCGGCTGTAGAGATCAACTGACACCTTCAACCAGCCTTCATACACATTGTTTAAGTCAAAGTTTCCCAAAATCATTCAGTCAACTTTCACAAAAACACAAGGTTACAGCAAATGTACCCAAGATATCTACGACTTAGAAAAAAGCAACAAGAGATGAGAAAATGGACGGACAGACAAACAGACAGGCAGGAAATGCCTGCAACAAATTCCAGACTATTTGGGAACAACACTTAATGATTCAATTAGACTAAATGAAATTATCAGAGTTGCTTTTGAACCATAACAACTGGAACATTGACCAACAAATTTGATATGTATTGATGATTTCAATGACAGCAATTGACAAAATGTTAAATCTGCTACTGGTTTCACAATTGGCGGCAGTATGATGTTTTTATGAAATTGATGTGAAGCAATTTGAACTGCCTTGTTACTAAATTATGGCAGGCAAATAAACTTGATCGATTGATTCATTCATTCATTCATTCATGTTCTTAAACCAGGAGAAAAGCTCCGATCACCGTGTACGCCTTGCTCTTGCTGACGAGGATCTTAGAGATGCCGAAGTCTCCGATTTTGACGATCATCTGGTGCTTGTCCAGCAAGATGTTCTGAGTCTTAAGGTCGCGGTGCAGAATCAGTTTGTTGTGAACGTGGTAGAGAGCGAGCAAGATCTGCACAAAGAAGTGGAGGATGGTGTCCTCATCCAGGAGGGAGTTACAGCGCTTCTGGATGTATTCAGCCAGCGTCCCACCTGCAGGGGGACGAACGAAACGCATCATTCACACCGTAGAGGTGAAATGTTGTTGGAGTATGAGAGATAGGCATATCAAATCAAATCAGACAATAAGAACACAGCAGTTGCAGTTTGTTTCTGGAGGGGCAGAGGTCGGTCACATGGTGTTTTGTAGTCATCAGTAGCTGTGATTCTGTTATCAGTGTGTGCAAATCTTGGTTGATACTCCTCCGATGTCGAAAAAACAGAAATTTCTAAATTGTGGTGTTTCCATTGAGTGAAAAACAAACCCTCATTTTCCTACCACTTCCTGTCTTTTTCTTTGACATTTTCACTACCACTTCCCTGTTGACTGTTGATCACAAAACTCATGGGGTGTAAAATAAGTGTTTAAGAAATGCGTCCATTTAGACACAGCCGAAAAAAAAAATAATTTTATCAAAAAACGTGTTGTTGTTTTTTTTGTTTTTTTTATTGGGAAGTTCTCAGGCATTACAAGAATATTAATGTCTGATATCCAAATTGGCCTAAATTTTCACAAGGGTTTGGGGCTCAAAACAGGCCAAAGTGTTGAACAAACCACACTTTGGTGTGTTAAAAGTTTGGTAGTTTACTGTCACTAATCAGATTACTATCATTAATCAGACCAACATTTTTTTAAAAAAGTCCCAATCAAGTGCTTTAACTGCTCAGAAAGATGATAAAACATTTTTTTAACCCGCATTCAAAGCTTTTTTTTTTTTCTCTCACTCTGAAAATGAAGACAGTTTAAGCTTTTAATCTGATGATTTCAGGGGGTAAAGAAGCTAGTTATGGCAAAGAACTGTGGAATCACCGGTGCAAAGCTATGTAATTTCCCTTATTACACAGTCCTGCAAAACACCTACTTCACACGGACTTAGATGATAAGATGCACTCAAGTGGTCTGTGTGTGGAACCCTAAGGCATGGGAAAAGTAAACTGGTTTGCCCAGATAAAAGAGGGCGGTGTAACCGGATCCAGCAGCAGGCCAACCTGGTGCGTACTCCATGGCTATCATCAGGGCCTTGTCCTCCAGGAAGTTCTCGTAGTACTCGATGATGTTTGGGTGGTTGAGCAGCTTGAGCACCTGACACTCGTTCTGGGCCGCCAAGCGTTCATCCCGTGACATCTGCTCAACTGGGATTTCCTTCAGGATGACGAAGGCCCCGTCGCTGCGCCTCCGGCAGAGGTGGACGATCCTGACCGATCAAAATACACGAGAAAAATGTCCTCAAACTGTCTTTTTGTTATCATAAAGTCAATAGTTCCTCAATTGTTTTGTTTTTTTTCTTTCCTGAACTAAGACTTCCTATGTAAATTTGAAATCTTCAACTGGGTTAGTAAAAAGTTTTGCACACATCTGTTACGAGATTAAATATTTGAAATTTGACTTAACTTTAAGTCTTTCAAATCCATCTTTGGAGAATTTTTGCAGTGCAAATATAATTGCAATGCATTGCAAAATTGTAGCAGAAAATATTAAGTGAAAGGGAAATATAATTTTTAAGGTATTTTATCAAAGGACCGGTAAAGTGTATGTCGACCTCGCCTGAGTGAGTTTGTAGAACCAGATTTTGCTGTTATATCAACTATTGAGGGTTTTTTGTACGGCTGAAACGATGAATTGAATTAATAATGAGTAATCGATTGTTGAAATAGCTTTCTACAAATTTTGCAACCCATTAATTGTTTAATGGAGAATGCAGACCCCAAAAAAGAAGCCCATTTGCTGAAAAAAGTCACACTCAGTGCAGTAACTAAGCCAAAACGACGCAAAAATATATACATTTTGCATTTAAGATTTTAAAAAAATGTAATATTTTACTTTAGACAATAAAATTGCTCTTATTTAAAAACAGATTTGGATGATTTGTTTATGTGTACCTTTGTATTGATAATATTGTATAAAATAAGGCTTAGTGGTTAATTGAAAAATCTGCAGAAAGTGCCATTTTTGTTTTATCCAATTAATCGTCCAAGTAATCTCAGAATAATCGAATACTAAAATAATAGTTAGTCGGCAACTCTAGTGTTGGGGTTATGTCTCTAACAAACTTTACACCCAACGGGCCATTTTTTCCCACGTCCACTAACTCAAGTTCAGCTCAGTTGGATGGAGAGCATACATGTACGGATATTTACTTTGACTAGGCTGTTCTTCGAACGAAACCAGTCGAGTTTGTCCAGGTTTGCCCTGTTTCTAACTCAATCTATAAACCAATATCTGTTACCACTGATAAAAGGCTTCGCTAGAGTTTTCAATCCCTACATATAACTAAAGGCAGCCATGTTTTATCACCGGCTGCTGACTAAAATTCACTGACTCTCCGTTATCTCCTCCCTCTTTTTCCCCTCAGCAGAAGACAAGACATTCCGCTGGCTTTGAAGGGAAAAAAGTGGACCTTTACCGACTTCTGGCTCTCCTAATAAACTCCGGACAGCGCCGCTGTTTCAGGCAGACGAAAGTTTACAACACGACGCAACGTTAATGTGTGTGAAAGAGCAGAGTTTACCCGAAAGCTCCTCTCCCAACAACTTTGATTTTCTCATACTTCTCCATCGCCGCTGCGCCTCAAACGGCTCCAATCGTCTCCTGGCAACCGGGCGACGGCACTACGGCAAGCAGCGAGGGACTAAAAATCAAAAAGATATACTTTTTTCCCCTCCTTTTTTGAGCTAACTAGGCTCGATTTTTTTTTCTTTTTTTTTTGCTTCATTTTCTCTTTATGGTTTGGCAGTTAACAACTATAATTAATAATTAATTATACATAATTCATTATTCTGCTCCCTTTCATTATTCCAGAGGCGGGTAGAGTAACCAAAGATTGTACTCAAATAAGAGAGGCATTACTTTGGCATATTTTTATCCAATTAAAAATGCTAAAGAATTTAGCATACTTTTATTTCACTGAATAGTAAAAGACAACTAAAAAAGTATTTTGTTAAAAGGCTACTTAAATTCTAAGTAACATTTTATCCGCATCTGATTTATTGTCTATTTATGGAATCAAATAAACACTAACATAATTACGAAAATTCAGGCAGAAGAAACTTTTTTCAAATCAATTATCTTCAGCCTAAAACATATACTTATATGCTATAACAGAATAAAGTACTTATGGTGGCAGTATCCTCTCTGTACTTTATAGACTTAACTTCAAAATGGCTCAGCAGACAGAAAACAACACAACAAATCTTGTGTGGAAACACACAGCAAAAAAAGAAAATAAAGATCTCACGTTGAAATCAGATGTCAATGTCTCAAACATGTTTGTTCTTTATTTGGTTTAGCTACTTCCTGACGTCGTCGCTCAAGTAAAACATTCTTTTGGAGAGAGGGGGAAAAAAAAGACTCCTAAAAGTACATTTGTTCCAAAAAACAAAACAAAAAAATTTAAAAAAATATCTCTGCTTTTAGCTGTGCATTCATTGCATAACTTAGAACTGCACAGGAAAGCTCGGAAACGCTCAACAGATTAGTGGAAAACGTATTAAATAGCTGGAACAAAATGTGCGATAATACAGAGAAGTGTGTGAAAACTTCAACAGCTTGAGGCAGAACGCTGTACAGCAGTCTGGTGGTTCTGCCTCTGTGAAATCACACTATTCATAATGGCAGCAGTTCATCAGGTTCACAGAGAGGGTGTGAGGCGTCGCTGACGATGTTCACAGTCGTGCTCCGGAAGCTTCTCTGAAACAGATCCTGGAGAGAAAGAAAAGGAGAAAGAGAGCGAGATAGACCGGGCATCAGGTTATGCTTTAAATAACATTTAGCAAAAATGTCTATTAAGGTTCATTTAGATATCCACGTAGTGTTGTTTCCATCTTAAAGGTACAAAACGTCACCAAGAAGGCGACACGACAATGTGCTCTAAAGCTTTTTAGACAAGATAAAGAACAAAACTCAAGGAACATCTGCTATTTTATCAGCACAAGCTTGACCTCTTGTTCCATTGATCAAACTAAAACCCTCTGTTTTCCATCAGCTGGCTCTGCCTCTCCCTTGAGAGTCAACTGATACTCTCTACAAGTCTGCGATAAATACAGTATAAAACATATCATAGTGTAAAATGACTGTGATCAAGCTCGAAGCTGTGGGTTAACTCTAGAGGTGAAGCTAAAGGTAATTTTATTCATATAGCACATTTTCAGCAATAAGGCAATACAAAGTGCTTTGCAGGAATAAAAAAAAGAAAATGCACACAAAATAGCAACCCAAAGGAAAGTGCAGAAGAAGAAAAATAACCTAATGTTGATCTAAAGTATATAGGTGCTCCCGTTCAAGGCTGTTAACGCTCCTCTGGCCTAATTCCATGACTGGATAGGAAGAACAGGAATCTAAAAACTAGTCTAATAATGTTGATCCAAAGTAAATAAATTAGATAAACTAGACACTCCTATTCAGGGTTGGTAGGTAAGAATAAGTAAGTATTCTCTAGTCTAATTTCTTTTCTGGGTTGGAAGAATAGAAGTCTGAAAAGTAATTGCTAAGGAAGTTTTCTGGAGTCTAAGTTTGTTCTAATTTCTGTTCTGTGTTGCTAAATAAGCCTAATTAAATAGAAGCATCCTCTGGTCTTTTGGGTTGCTAGATGAGTCTAGTTTCTCTGGACTCTAAGTATCTAGATCGCTCCTCTTTAGGGCAAAGATAATAAGTTAATCTTTCTTTCTATTCATCTGGAGGAAGTTATGACATGATTTGTCCTAAGCCTTTGTTCAAGGCATGGATTGTTTTGGAGTCACCTGGTAACATCGTAATGAAAACCTGTGAATCAACTGCATAACTATGATAAGTAATCTTATTGCTTCTTTTGAGCTGCAGCCAGCTAGAAACAAGCTACACGCTAGCAGGAGCATGTGGACATAAGCAGGAGGGACAAAGACGTGCCAGATGCCTGAATGACACCAGCTTTGCAACAGTCGAGACGAGTTGAGCTAAAGGCATCTATTATTCTGAAACCTAGTATTTTCATTCTAGTGAGCGTATAATTTAAATTTTTTCAGAATGTCGTCAACCTAAGCTGCCATTTTTCTAAAATTACCCTTTATTTAAACCCTCCAGTGGACTGCCGTTGGGTCTGTAAAATGTCTCCATCTGAGAAATATGTTCTTGACCCACGCGGACATAAACAGGTTACGTGAAAAGTTAGGTTGAGGTGTCATTTTGTCATTACTGGGGCATTAAGTTCTGCAGTGTTGCTTCCATATACCTGGTAATTATTAAGCATCTTCCCCATTTCCTTCGCAGGAAGGAGGGTCTGTGACCACTGTGTCTTCTGTCTGCCATGATGGGATAATAAATGCTTTGTGCGGCGACAAAGCCCACTCTGTGTGGTGAAGTAGATGCTTCCTCTGTCATTATCAATCTGAAATAATCATGCATTGCCACAAACAATCATCTGAGCGTAACCAACCCTTCTCTTCAATCCTTCTCTCTCTCTCTTTTTTTTTTTTCAAAAAAGAAGTTCCTCCGATGGAAGTCAGATTAGTCGCCGGTTGCACAAACAATGGTTTGCTCTTTCCCAGGAATATAGTATGGCAGCACCTGAAGGAGCCTCGAGGTCTCGGCGTGCCACTCCTCTGACCCACTCAGTCACATATTTAACCTTCTGTCAGCAGGTCCGCCGCTCAGTCACCCTGCAGGAATGAGGCGAGCGGCGCAGTAAAACTGATGCCGATTATGAGGTATGAGCCCACGCCTGAGGAGCTTAATCTTTTTAATCTTAGGAGATTTCTTAAAAATAATGACAGGAAGCTGTGGGTGGATGTTTTTTTTTGTTTTGTTTGTTTGTTTGTTTTGTTTTTACACGTCACAAAGTCGCTCTTGACATTTGACACAGTAGGTTTCAGCAGCAGATAAATTAGAACCGTGAACTTTGAAGGTGATGAAAGCCTGCTGAACGCTTCCTCACGCTTCAGTTGGGAATGTGTGCAAACACAGCGCCTTGGAGAAAATATTCATACCTCTTGAGACCGTTCTCATTTTTGCCAGGTGACAAGCTTAAATTTTGATTTATTTTATTTTGTCTGGATTTTTTATTTTTGTTATTTCCTTATTCTGGCTTGTCTTCCTTTTTCTCTGGACAAGAAAAGGTGCCCTTGTGAAATCTTTTTCAATTTGTTTCCTTGGCAGTGTGTGGTCTGTGTCTCAATGTAGCATTTCCGAGATTTAAAATTTTTTAAGTGTCCCACATATTTTTAACTCTCATATTATTAATTCTCAGTAAATATCCTTTCTTTCCTCTTGAGCAGCTGACCCCCAAAATGTTTGAGAACCCCACTGGATGCATGGGTGTGGTGGACATATCAGAGCGATAACTGAACATAATTTTGTTCAGTTTGCTGATGAGTTCAAGTTTGAGATTTGCAACGACAGACCAATAAGAGCGATCAGACTTGTCTTAACTCTGTGATCACTGATCAATTCAAATTAGAACTGGAATTGCTGTCTGGTTCTAAATAGCATTAGAAGTTAAGTTATCCATATGGAGGAACTCCACTGTAGTTATTTGATAATGAAGCAGAATTTTCAGACCTAATCAGAATGGTGGCACCCTCAGAAAATTTTAATATCTAAAATATTTAGGGGAGGACAGCTAAAAAGAAAAAAGGTAAATAATAATAATAATAGAAATCTATAGATATTTTTCAGCAGATTTCAAGTGGGCCCCCATTACTCCTTCTTGGGGGTGCCACTGAATCAGAATCAGAAGTAATTTGAAGCAAAATGAATTAAAAATCGAAATAATTTATATTCACAAAACCAATAAATTGCTTGTATCAGTTTATTGTCCAGCTTTTCTTTCTATTGGGAAATCCAAGCCTCCACAAAGAAGCAAAACAAAACCACAGGATCAATATGATTGTGTCACAAACCAACCGGACACATACGAGTTCTACAGCAGATCAAGAACAGCAGCGCCTGTCCTGAAACATTCTGCTCCAGACTTGGAGTTTCAGTGCACATTACATGTTTCTGTTGTTCGAAAGGACAAAGAGAGCGAAAGTCCTTTGGAGAGGCGGCCAGAAAACCGAGTCTTCAGTGTTGAGTTACATTTAGTGCAGAATGTTCTGGGGATGTTACATGACACGTCTTTCACGCCTGGGGTTCTGGTAGGTGGAACATCTGCAGAGGTTACAGACACCATCTACTGGAGTATGATCACATGTCGTGAATTAGTTGAAGCCACTGGAAAGCCAAGCGCTTATAGGTTGTTTTGAAATCAATTAAAGATATTATCAAAAGGTTTTTCGAGTAAGTCACAGATGAAGATTGATGTGGGGGGAGGGTGCCCTCTGGTGGTGTGATAGGTAACTAAATGGATGCGGATGTGATTCTCAAGGGAAGCATGGCTGCCATCTAACAGACAGACAGATTCAAAGGTTTCTGCCCATAAACTGATTTATTTAATAACAATAAGGTGCACTTCATTGCATCACCAGACAGTAGAAAGGCCATCCAGAGCTCACACTCAAGGATTGTTGCTCCTTTGGTTTAGTTTAGTTTTAGAGTTTCTTTTGCAAAAGTATTCTTTAGCTTTCTTATCCAGTGTCTTCACTGGCACTTCCTGTATAAATTATAGGGAAACAGAAACATGAAGGACTAAAATATACAACACTGCCACAGGGGGGCAGCCACTAAACTGTGGTAGGAAATGTAAGTAAAGCACAAAGAAAAGAAACAGAAATATTTTCATCTTTAAAATCCTACTTAAAATATCTTACTGGAAAAAGAAAAGATCAATTTTTCCATATTCCTATACAGGTATGATTTTGCCTGACAAGACGTTTTGTTGTGTCATCATTACTGGCTTCAGGTAGAAGCGAAAAACCAAATTACCAAAATCATTTGCTAATTTTTTGCCATCTTCCTGTCTTTCACAAACAAACTATCTTGTGACGTCACTGCACAAATTTAATAATATTGTGTGTGTTTAAAATAGACACTTGGCAACATTCCTTAGAAAATCCAATTTAATCCAAAGTACTGTACAGGCATCACACTGATGTGTCTGCCTGTGTGAAGAAAGCCAAATCACAATAAATATTTAAATAATAAGCGGTGTCTGTTAAGTTTGTGGTAAACAAATTGGAGCAATTGAATTAGGTGGATGAAGTCATTTCTGTCATTGCAAATTGGGAAGAAGTCATCTTGTCAGCCAATCAGATGTCAGAACGTTCCCCTTGTCCCGCCCACTGAATTTGATGGGTGAAGTTGACAGTTTTGAATGACGATCTAGAAATGAGGCCATGACATTTAATTGAGCCACAGCCTTGAGAAAACGGTCATCAATCTGAAGCACTGCGCTGCCCTCTAGTGGCCAAAATGTGCAACAACAGAGACAGACGACATGGGCACATTGAAGTGAGCGAAACATGCGGATGGCAAATAAAACAAAATCAAAATCATGCAAATGCAAAACATGCATTGCTGCTGCAGATGAACATCTTAAACCTAACAGTTCTTAAGCCAAACCCTACAACATTTAATAAATCAATATTTCCAGTTTTTAAAAATGAATGACTTCTGATATTGAAATAGTCGTCATAAGGTGTTAATACATTATGAAATACACGTTTTTCGATAAAATTTTAGATTTGGGCTGGTTTCTCAGCCATTGGAGACGCTTTTCGCATCACACGAGTCACGTGACATATAACCGGATGTTACTACTTCCGAAAACGAAGAAGAAATAGCATGAGGTTTCGTTTTTTTTTGTTTGTTTTTTTTTCCTCTGGAAAATGTGCTGCTGGTTCCACTGCAGAGTCATTTCAAAGTGTTAAATCCACAGCTCTTCTATAAAATCACTACAATTTTCCCCAGCGGCCCACCCACCCAATAAGATTCTAATGTCTCCTCTGATTGGCCAGCGCCACAGCTGAGTTATGAATGTATGCCGTGAACTGCTCAGTCTAACTTAGTCTAATTTCTTACGACACAAGTACAAAATTGTGTTGGGTTTTTTTCTTGTTTTTTTTGGGTAACATAATCTTGGCGTGTCTGTCTGCCCCTCCTTGCTCCTGCGAGCCGAGGGAGCCGCCGCGACACCACCCAGCCCCCAACCCCTCCGCCTCCTTCCCTCCCTCCGCCTTTTCTTCCGTCATTCTGCACGGACGGCCGAGCTGAGCGCGGCTTGCCTCGTCATGTTTACGAAGCGCGGCGTGGAGAAAAGCGCCGCCGACCCCCTGGAATGATCCGAGACGCCTCCGCCTCCCCGCCGGAACCGGACTTGGACCTGTGCGTAAAAACGCGCGACGGCAACAGCCAGACATCCGCGCTGATTTGAGCGGAGGATCGCCTCCTTTTTATCCTTTTTCCTCGTGCACGACGCTCCCCCATCACAGACGGAGGGAATCCATCTCATTTTGAAAATAAGTAAACAAACAAAGCAAACAACAGCTGAACAGCTCCTGTTGGAATTCTAGAGGAGCAGGGACGTAAAGAAGACCATGGAGGCCCTGCTGCCTGTGCTGAAGAGCCACCCTGGCCCGGTGGTGCTGCTCTGCTCTCTGCTGTTCAGGGTGGCCCACCGGCTGCTGCAGAGGCTGCCCGTCCCCACGGTGGTCCGGCAGGACGCCTTCCGCTCCTGGAAGTGGAAGAACCTGTCCGTGTCCATGGTGCACTCGGTGCTGACCGGGACCTGGGCTCTGACCTGGTGAGTGACGGCTCCATCCATCCACCCGCTGCTCCACACTGAGGTGGCATTGTCTTGTTCCCGGCTCACATGATGTACAACGTGTGGGAGAATGTGTGTGTGTGTGTGGGGGGGGGGGTGTGTGTGTGTGTGTGTGTGTGTGTGTGTAGCAGTGACAGTCTGTGGCAGTCAGGAGAAGAAGAAGATGAAGGAGGGCATGCTTGGACTGGGACAATGGCATTCTTAGGTGGGGAGGGACACGCGGAGCTGCTGGCTGTTTGGAGTTTTCACTTCTGAGCTACAGACCGAATAAGAAAAAAAACAAAAAAGAAAAGAAAAGAAAATCAACTGGAAAAACCTGATTTGGTTTTGTGAAAGCATCAAAATAGGGGCGGGGAATAGACGCACATGACTCATCTCCCCACATTAAGAGTTGGCAGTAACTTGAATACTTCTTTCATTTCCGAATCTGAAAAGTGAAGGAATGACTCAGTAACGCATGGCCCGGTTTAGACCCAAGCTGTCACTGTGGCCTGTTTACACACACATACAAAATGCTGATACCGCTATTGAAGGGGCGGTATCATGTAAACTTGACTTTTTTGGTCTTGTTAAAAACAGACCTGATTGCTTTGATTCTTTCAAGCCTGTCTGAGAAATCCTCTCATCTCCGTGGCAACCAGTTAGGTGTGCAAAACGCCGTGTTGGACCTCGCTTTGCCACTTTGGAGGATCTAACCTTCCCAGATTCTGATCGATGGAGAACCTTTCCCCTACGACTACACCACTCAGCTCCTTCAGACTAGCCAGCAGTAATTAGCAAACATTTGTTAGGCTGTGCATCCGCCGAGCTCATCATCGGAGCTACTTCTCACTGCAACGCTGGCGAAAGGGTTAATAGAGGAGCAATGTTGTGAGGTTGGCGTGAATGAGCAGGAGTTTCTTAAAGAGACAGAGGCCCAGTTTCAAGGCGTTGCATTGCAAAGTCAATTTTTTTAAGCCACGTTTGATATTTGCAAGCATATGATCATACATCAAGTGTGAAAAATGTTCATAATATGTTTTGTCATTCTCATTTTCTGAGTAAAAAAACTTCTGGTGTGTACAGCTCAGAGAGGCTCCGTACCTTTAAATCATCCCCTGAAAGCATTGATATCTGTTAGTTGGGGGAAGAAGGTTTTTGAATTTTTGAATTTTTTCTTACCGACGTCTCTGCTTAGTCAGGGCTTTCTGTACATAAACGAGCCGCTGCCTGTCTGACTCAGGTGAATATTCAGAGCAGTTAATCTGTCCTGTGTGTGTCCCTCTCTGCAGTGTGGTGATCTGGCCCGAGACGCTCAATAACATCTACAATTTTCACACCCCTCTGTCCTACCTGCTCATCTGCGTCTCCACAGGTCAGTAAACGCACCTCTGTCTGTTTTATGTGCCAAAACGACATCCATGTAGTTTTTCTCTCCTTTTCTTTGCATTCTGTCACATTACAAACATAAACAATGGAATTAATTTGTGAGATTTTTGATTAGAGCAACATAAATATGGAAAATAAATATAATCTGTGTTTGAATCTAGATAGAAACCAAAAAAACCCCAAAACAAAACATAATAATTGTTTTTCGGCCTCGTTGCGCCCCTGATAAAGTGTCACCCATAAATCTAACTTGTTAAGTTAATCAGGTTAGATTTATGAATAATTTAATTTCACTTTGGAGATCAAATTAAAAGTGTGTTGATGCCTTGCAATGCTTTGCATCAAGCAGCGCAAATATTATTGTCGCTAACTTTTTAAAGGAAGATTAATATTTATTTTTTTTAATTGGAACTTTAAATTTCACAAAGTCATATTTTATGTGAAACTATCAATTGTTTATCATCTGTGCATGTTTGGCAATTGATTTTATGTTTTTAATTTGAGAAATCTGAAGAGAAAACCAAACCCAGTTGGATTTTCTCCAGGGCAAAAGGGAACAAAAAGAAAAAAAAGTTTTAGGTTGTTTTATTGTCATTTTGAATGTGAAAATGTAACATATAAAAAACGTAGCATCTGAATAACGAAACCACTTACCGCAGAAGCCATGACTCATTTTTCCATATTCCTCCACAAGCACATAATTATAACGCCTGACGAGACGTTTGTCTTGTTGTGCTGTCATTACCAAACTTCTGGAAAACTGAAAGCTGATGACTGTAGTTCTCCATTCGCAGTTGAAATTTTCAGGCCACTTTTCAGATTTTTATGTTCAAAACCTTTCATCACTTTCCCTCCAATTGTATAATTACGTACATAAAATCACAACGCAATGCTGTCAGTTTGTTGTGATGTGTTAAAACACAAAGGGAAGTCTATATTTGAGAAGGTGACACAATTTTTAAAAAAAATGTTTTGACTTAAAAACAGCCACGTTATTTGATCTGTACGTGAGAATATTAAAATGTTATTGCACCCCTGGCAGAGTGTGGGAGGAGTTGAACTTACAAAAGAAGCCTGTAATTATCTCATTTTCTGTTGTTTGAAGCAGTCGGCAGCTCCTCCCGTAATCCTGACAGGCGAACGCTATGACCACCAAAAACAACCGTCTCGTCTGTTTTGTGTGGTTTGGTTTTCGTGTCTCTAGGAGAATACAAGTCTGGTGAGAGCTGCTCCCCCCGTAACAACTGCAAACAGCTCCTCAGAGCCCAAACACAAATGAAACGAGGAGTTAAGGCGCATTAACTCCTGCGACAGTTAGTCATTAAACAGTTTAATGACCAAAAGAGAAACTTTTGGTTTGCACGTCTGGAATATGATGACTGGAGACATTTCGCTCTCCTGTCAGAGGAGTTTAACAGTCACACAAAAAAGAAAAACATTATCTAATTGTCTTTAAGAAAAAAGAAAAGGAAAAGAAAAAAAAAGAAGCAATAAGTCCAGTGGAGTGATATTTGGTCCAAAATGAAGACTGCTGCACACCAAGCAGTGGCTACTTCTGTTTCACAGGAGGCTATAATTATGCTAAAGTGATAACTGCTAATCTGTTTAATGAGAGGCCGATGCTAGCAAGAATGAGAAAGAGAGTACACATTTGTGTTAGCATTGCACTAGCATGTGAGCAGCATGGTCATCCAGTGGATAGCCTGCTACTCTGCTGTGCACCAGGCTAGTGCTAGCATTGGACAGGCTAACGGCTAGCATACCTGGTTTAGACACACACGTTTTTTCTTGAAACAAAACTTCATCAAGAAAAACAGTGGACATAAAATATCCGTAGGCGACGTATTGAAATTTGCTCTCTAAATATATTACATCACATACAATTCAACATCCGATTGACACTTCCAGGCCTTCTGGGACAGGAGATGTCACCAGGAACGATCGGCCAATCAGAAACAGAGATTTGGAAACATGTGGCCTCGTCTCATTACACAGGATATCAGAAAAATTAAATCTGTGATCATTTTCTACCAAACTGTTTCATTTCAAACAGAACACAAGAATGAACTGTAAAAAAGAAAAGAAAAAAAAGATGCCATTGTTGATTAAAAGAAAAAATTCTTCCTGGACGAAGCAATCTCTCGTTTTCAAAGAAGACAGACTTCCTTGAAAGCAAGAAAGAAACAAGTGTGTACACACTTGTGTATTACCAAATCCATAAGTTCTTGAAGCCAGTAGAAATCAATTCATCATGTTCTATGAGTAACAATGCATTTTAAAAGGTGTCGGCCGTTAAAATGTGTGTGTAAGGTCAGTTCTGTTGTGTTGGTGTGTAACTGCAACACTTTCATTTCGAAGGTGTATTTGTGTTTAGTTATTTCTTTTTGAAATGACAAGTCCATGTCTTTATTCTCACACCACATTAATCCAAAACTACCTTTTTCCCCCAGGTTATTTTGTGCATGATGCAGGCGATATCGTTCTGACGGGACACGGCAGAGGATCATGGGAGTTCCTACTCCATCACGTCTTGGTAAGATGCTTGTGCTCGTGCTTTCGTTTTTTAACTCGATCAAGATGGCGTTTCTGGTTCAGACAGCATATCTGAGTCACAAGACAAAAGAAAGATAACATCAAGTTCTGCAATGCGCTGGACAGGTTCCCAGGACATGTGGGGGGGGGGGAAGGACAGTTGAAGTTGACCTGATGAGTTATTAATAGAAACTAAAGAAAACAGGATTTCCATTGATGCAGAAACATTGTTGGACTTTTGTGCTTTTTAATGTTTTTTTTTTTTGCTTTAAATATTAATGAATGCTAGTAGAATTTTTACTCAAAATGTGTCCATTAAATCTGACACATTCAACTTTTACTGCAATAGTATTATCTCACACCGAAAAAATAAAAAAGTCAACTTTTAAACAGATTGTGGCGCTCTTAAATAGAGCTGGATGATATGGCTGAAAAGTGTATTACAATGTAAAGGTTTCACATCAGCCAACATAGGTAATTATTAGCGCTCTCTAGGCCTGTTTCAATAAACAATAAATCAATTAATTGATCAATTAAAACAAACGCAATCACTTCCATTTGTGTGATTTATCTTTTTTCTTTTTTTTTTCTCCTTGTACCAAAAATAGGATGATGCTTTGGTCTCAATCGCATGTGATTATATTAATCACATGCGATTATGTTGACAGTCCTAATAATGATTAATTATTTTATTTTAAATATCTGAAATACTTCCAAAGTAAACTGGTGCCATGACCTTTCCTTTGTGACCCACAGCTTTCACTCCGCGCTGTTGTTTTTCTTTATTCTCAAACATTTATGAGGCTTCTCCGCAAGTTACTCAACACGTTGTTGCTGGGTAACCAAAGAGTCAGTTGGTCTGTTGGTACCACCAATCTAGCTTAGCAAGCTGTGAAAGGTTAAGCAGCGAGAGTCTTTCCTTTGCCTACATCTCCAGAATGCTGTGCAGTTCAGGGAAGCTATTGAGCATCCTATCAAACGTCTCATATGCTGATATTGCGATTGATATTGTTAATGATTTATTGTCTAAAACCAAACCCGAGGTTAGCCGTCCATTGGTACAAACACCCTCACCGTGATGTTCTGTCTCCAGGTGATCTGGTGTTTCCTGTACACCCTGTACACCCAACTCTACATTGCCGGTGCTTTGATCGCCCTCTTTGTGGAGGTCAACAGCGTCACCCTGCACTTGAGGCTGATGCTGAAGCTGGCCAACGCTCAATCCTCCCCCATTTACCACATCAACAAGATCATCAACCTCGTCACCTACGTCCTCTTTCGCCTTGGCACCCAGTTCTACCTCACCTGGTACATCGTCCACAACTACTCCTGGCTGGACCACGGCGGGTACTTCCTCGGCACCATGATAATGATGAACATCATGATGGTGATTTACTTCTACCGTTTGCTCCGCACTGACTTCTTTCCCCGAAGCAAGAGGTACGCGGGACAGAACGGCACGCACAACAACAACTCCAAGAAGTTTCTCAACGACTGACCGGGGGGAGCGGTTTGCAGGACTGCACCACGTATTTCATTTAAGACGGAAAGTTTACAGATTTTGTTGTGTTTTTATGCTCTTGACAACAGATTCACTGCCAAAGAAGAAGCTCCCCAAAACACGTAGCCTTTTTCGGGTGCTGCTTTTACACAGAAATTTTAAAGTAGGAAATTTTAACTAAATTTAACACGTGTTTAAGTGAAAATTGACAAATCCTTGAAATTGTACATGTTTTGGCGTAATGGACAATGTTTTATTCGTTGAAATACCAAGAAGGTTTCTTAGGTGTTTTGTAAAAATGTGACCAGCATTTCTCTTGATTGCTTTCCGACTGAAGGTTAAAGTTGAAGTTTTGACTCAAGCTTTAGGCCTTGGGACCAATTTTTCTGACTAGGTCATATGAAGCATAAAGTAATTACATAATAAAAAAAATATACAGTCGACTAAGTAGCAATAACACTGAGTGAGATTTAAAATTAACTTCTGTATCAAACTGTGAATAAGCACTGTGTGCTAATGATTATTATGCATGCAGAAGAAGTAGGGGAAGCTTGGCTTTATGGAATGGGATTCTTAAATTGACATACATAACATTAATGGAAAGATAATAACAAGCAGTGTGATGTAAATAGGTTTGGTCTGTTTTGTTTTCAATGAGCAGTGACTCTTTTTTAAAAAGTGATCCACTGGCGGCTATGTAGAGATGACAAAACCCAACTTTAATGTTATTGGTCGTTTGATAATGTAATGCTTGTAAAATGCATTTGTTAGCCTTACTTCACAATGAAAAGAATGATGACCGTCCCGTGTCTGTAAGCTAAATATAAAGAATATGCCACAGATCTTTCCTTTGTACTAATACTAAGGATGAAACTAGTTGGGATGTCAGCAATAGGATAAGAATACAAACAACTTGGACCACCTAGTTTTCAATGGAAACGTACCAACAAGAGAAAACAAATGAATAGAAATAAATTATGTTGACCTGAGTGACCATTGTAGCCTATCACAGTGAATAAAACGCAGAAGCTAGCGAATCCCAGATGAGATTACAGAATTATTGGTTGTGGATTAGAAAAATAACTTTTAAAAAAAAATCCAGTTATTGATTTTATAATAATCTTATGTCAATTTAAAGAAAAGTGTTGCATTTTTGACACTATTAATATATATAAAATATATGTACTTACAGCTTTCTAAACGCTAAAGCTACAGGTAGCTAGCTTCTCTTTTATTTTTTAATATGACACTAATTGGTGAAATGTAGTTAACTAGATAACTGGTAAACAGTTTAAAGCAGTTTAAAGAAGATGATCAACTTTTGTTTGCTTTTCAAAAAGCATTTTTTTCTTATTCCTGTCTAAATGCTACAAGTTAGCTTCCTATTTAGCTTACAAACATGAGAATGGTACTGATCACTTCATTAAAATCTCTCGGAATCAATATTTTATTATAACTAAAGCAAAAAAAAAAGGAAAGTAAAAGACATTTAAGTGCAGTTACAATTAACCTTGTTAGGTGCTAGATGGATTTCCTTATTTATTGTGATGTTGCTAATGTTTTGAGTCAGGTTGATCGTTGCTTGCTACTTTAAATGGGCACTGGACACAAGAGAGGTACTGAAATTATTTATAACTATATTATTTGCTGCCGGAATGCTATCTTGTGGTGATGTTACACTTGTCTATTGCGGTGTATGTTAAGAATATTTCAGTGTGTATTTGAAATGGGTAATCGCTTTTTGTCTGCTGCTTTTTGTACGGCACACTCACTATACTGTATGTTGCAATATATTTTGCATCTGCATGGGGAAAAAAGCGTGTTTCTTTTATAGGGGTTTTTGACTAATGTTGTTGACACTTGGAATTTTCTGAATTTGCATTTTAATATTGTATAATTTTGTGGACCAATCCTTCTGTCTCTATGAGGCCATGTCTCCAGGTATGGCTGAAGAGATGCTGGACCGGACAGAGTTGTTCATGACCAATTGAACTGCTAACATGCCATGATGCAGGATCATTTTTGGTCCTTCTTTAACTCTTTGATCAAATCTGTTTCTAACTGACTCCAGTGGAGCTGAAACCGGACCTTTCTGCCATTTGTTCTCGAGGAACCCTGAAAAAAAGATCTTTCATACCGAGCAGGCAGCAGCACAATCGTTTGGTTTGGTTAATAGCGACACTTTGGAGATGATCAACTTTTAAAGATTGAACCTGGTCGACGTATATCTCCTCTTATTTCCTCAGAAATATAAACACTATGTAAATATTTGTCCTCAAGTGCATATTTTTTCTTCATTTTTATAGATGTATGTGTTTGTTGGCTCTAAGTGGAATTGATCATTCCATAAGTTGTAACTGCTGATGACAGTAAAATTTTACTGACAAGTTTATTCCTCAGACACAACATTAGATGCCCTCTGGTCTTCCTCATGGAGAGAAACGTGGACAAGTTTGGATCCTGAGACATCAGCAGTATAAACTTTGATTTACTTCCAAAAAGGCATGAGGACGTTGCAAGAACTAAATCATCAGGGTGTAACAAAACAACCCCCATATAACACTCTTTAACAATAGTCAGAATGTTGTGGCTGATCGATGTAAACTTCATTTTATATTTCAACCAACGGCAAGAAAAAAAAGGCGTAAATGGAGCTGATGTGCGTCTGACCTTTGCTGTTGTGCCTTTCGCCCAAGTGCCTTTTGAACATAAGCAGAGACTACAATAACTCGAAGTTTCCCACACAGTGAAGGGAAGGGGTTGCAACAGTTATTTCGATTGATCATGAGCACAATAATGTAAATGACTCTCGTATTAAAAGTGTCTTTCGAACCACTGAGTGAATAAAAAAGTGTTTAGAATTACAGGGGTCATGATTTCTTTCTGTGTTTCAGTTTGCATGTGAAAGCTGATTAAGATAAAATTTTTGCGGCCATCTTGTCCACAGCACTTTCTGCCAGTAAAATCTTGGAAATTTGCCCATCCAATGTATGACGCCAAAAGTTGAGATAACTGAGTTCAATGAATTGTTCAGCTCAGAAAATACCATTGTTCATTTGGATGCTAAATATTATAAATCAGAACCTTGACTTCACAACAATCAAAAGAGCGTCCTAGCACAATTTTACATTACGAAAATATTTTTTGTACAATGGAAACAAGCCTTGCGACCAGTCCAGGTTGAGCCCGCCTGTTGTCTATTGACAGCTGACCTCCTGACCCCGATGGGAAGAGGGTGTAAGAAAATGGATGGATGGATGGATGGAAACATCAATTTCAAAAACACTCAATTTTTGATGAAACGTTTAGGTGCTAGGTGGAGTTGGGTTTTTTGGCTTAGGGAATACAGACAAAGCTTTGAGCACATTTGTAGTGGAAATGCCGCTACAGATGATTAAATATCCTGTTGTGCATCCAATTCAGTTTCAGATAACATAAACATCAGAATGTCGACCCCCCTCTACCAAAAGGACTCAGATTAAAGATTGAATTTCTCTAAAACATAAGATTATGCTACAACATTTGGAATCAGACTTTAATCTCATATATCTGACTTTTTTGCTGAGGATTCTCACTTTTAAAAAGTCAGAATTCTAGCCCTGCTCTATGCTCCGTCTGTGTTTCACACACCCCGTCTCCAATAAAGGCGCTCAAAGAGCCAGAAGTCAGTAGAAATCTGAGATTCAAGCCAGATTTCATATTCAAATTGAGTAAATAAACGATAATTCTCCTTTTAAAGTTTAGCCTTCGTCAGGGACGCAGTCGTGGAGATCAACAGATTCCCGGCAGTTCTTCATTTTGTCCAGCAGGGGGCCGAGCAGGAGAAAATGTGGGAGGAAAGAATGAATCCAGGGGAACTGAGTCAGCAGCTGCTGTGGTCCCTCTCGGCTGCTCCCCACAACTTCCGTGGCTCGACTTAAGCCCCATTAATGAACGCTAACCTTTTTTGTATATATTTTTTTACTAAACACTGAAAGCGTGAGCTGCCTCAGCGTGGAGCAAGAGGCGTCTTTGAGGGGAGTGAGACTGAAGAGGACCATCTTGAACCGCCGAGGTATCCTGTAACATCAGCTGCGGCTAAAACGCTACCTCCACTTCAGAAAACCCACAGCGACCTTCTGTCTTTTCAGCCTCCTTCTCACGGTTTGTTGTTGCATAAAAGTTGGAAAAGTCGCTACCGCTGAACGCAGAAGGAAACGGAATGAAGTCAATTGTATTTCTTTTGTCTTCAGAGGGAGTTTTGATGAACAATAGGATTAAAACAGACAGACAGTAAGCGGCTCGGCGCTGATTACTGTTGCCCTGGCTACCTTTCATTTCATGAGTAATCAACCTTTGGCTCCTTCAGGCTGCCGTAGCTCTTAGGAAGACATGTGTGTAGTAGTATGTAGTAGTGTAAAGCTGTAATAGCACCTAGTAAAGATGTACGAATTTAGAATTTAGAAGCAGACATATTTATCCAAATTATTTACTGTATGAACTAATCTCCAGGAATTTGATGTTATATGTGTAAATTTTTTTACACACACACACACACACACACACACACACACACACACACACACATATATATATATATATATATATATAATATATATATATATATATATATATATATATTTTTTTTTTTTTTTTTACTTAAAAAAATAAGCATTACAAGTCATAAACTAGTGCCACACTATTGTTATTATTACAATTATTATTATTACAATATTATTGTATTTCTGGTAGTGTTTTGATTACCTGTTTACAAATGTAATAGTTTGCCGCACCCTCCAAGAATGGTGAAGATATGTGGAAAGTCTTAAAATCCATTTTTATCACAACAGCAAAATCACCTTTGATTTTACTCGTTTTAATTAACAGAAGAAAAAAAAGCCAAAGAGATGATTTTTTTTTCAAAGGGGCCCAATTTTAAAGCATTAAATGGCTATGTCATATTTGATATGTGTAGCGTTTTTATAAAAACTGACCATGACATTTTGTGCTGTGAAATGGCAGTGTGATCCTAGGGATTTTACCTTACTGCTCCTTTAAGAGCAAATTTATCTCCAGCTGGCTGTTTGTTTTTACGCCACTGTCTCACTTCTGTTGTTAACCCATGTGAGTCTGGGTGTTTTCTATGCAAAATACACTTTTAAGCTTGGTAGTATGGAGGTTAAGTGTGCAGAGAGCCATATGCAGTGTGAGAAGGACAAAGGATGCCCCAAAACACTGTGCATCTAAACCTTTTTCTGTCTTGAATTTCATTCGAAGCGGCATTAAAAAGTCTTAAATATGACATCAAAAGTGACACATGCACTTCAAAAACTGTCAACCAGTTCACTGGTTTTATTTGATAAACCTCCACAAAACGAAAACTAGACAGAAAGTCTTAGTTTTTATAGTGTTTTAATTAATGTAAAAATCTAAAAATCTGTCAATTTTTTTTTTATCCACACAACCCACACTAGTTTCATTATCCCTGCACTATGGCAACATAGTATGACAGCAGCTTGAAACAACAAACCCGATGAGTTGAAACGGTTGTGTTTTTCTCGTCCAGACGTCATTTACCCCGAGGCTTCATGTCTCTCAGAGTTTCAGGCATGAGTGTTTTTCCTCCGGTTCGTCGGGACCGGGTCATCGCTCAGCTGCCTCAGGTGAAAATCAAAAGCCGGAGCATCAGCAACAACTTTATTGTTTTAGAAAATCCACATCGCTCTCACTTTCTCTTCCTGTCCTTTGATTTTAGGCTTTCAGAAAGGAGGCAGCCCTTCACATTACAGAAGAATTCAACAATAAAGTGAGGACGGCCTGCCAGGAGCAGCGGACCGGCACTGTGGGGTGAGAACGGACACCTGAGCTCTCTGTGAGCTCGGCTTGATGTGATTATTTTTGCTTCATCGGCTGATTCTTCTACCATTCCTTGTGTCAGGTTTAAAATCTCCAAGGTCATCGTGGTCGGCGATCTGGCTGTGGGGAAAACCTGCCTGATTAATAGGTAAATGCTGCAGGCTAATGAATGCATGAAGCTTGATTTAGTCATTAAAATATTTAGTAATGTACAAACAGTAAGAGTTGGATGTTACTTTTGTAACTGAGAAAATCTGCAAACTTTTGAGTATTAGTAGTGAGTGTAGCTGTGTTTATGGTTAAATTATTAAAGAAAGCAGGAAGAAGAGTGAACCTGTGTTAACTGCTGTCCAGTCAAACATTATTGGTAACAGGAATATGGAGGAATTTTTCTGCCCTAATCCAAGAGCACACTTTTTCAGTCTTTTGTTCTGAAAACTTTTTATACTTTTGCTTACATTTTTATTTTGAAAGCAAGACTTCTTCTCAAAACTTGTAACGCTTGTCCTCAAAACTTTTCCTGGCGCTCACAGTCCTATGAGACATAGAACTGCCTTTTGGCACAGTCGCCTGGTAACCTCTCAGCCAATAGAATGAAAGTGTTGTACTGGGTGCGTTTGTTTCCTTCTAGCGGGTGTGCCTGTGTGGCTACTATGGAATGTATCAACCTGTGCCAATCAATGGATGTAGGGAGAAACAACAAAGTCAGCTTTCTTCTCCATAGAACACTAAACATCCACCAGCAGTGTGCTACCGATCGCTAGCAGCTACCGATTGCTAACAGCTACCGATTGCTAACAGCTACCGATCGCTAACAGCTACCGATGGCTAACAGCTACTGATCGCTAACAGCTACTTTGGCTGGGTGAGCAAAATCCTGCCTAAGACAACATAGTACAAGCATTACAAGTTTAGGGAAGAAAGGCATGAAGTCCTGCTTTCAAAATAAAAATGTAAGCAAAAGTATTAAAAAATTTGGAGGACAAAAGACATGAAATCTTTAAATGTGAGAACACATTTTCAACAGTAGATATTTACATAAAAAGAAAAAATATAGCTGTGTGAGCAATGTGACCAAATGATCCAGAAAGTAAAGCCAGATTTCTGCTTTAGATTTTGCAAGGATGCCTTTGATAAGAACTACAAGGCGACCATCGGTGTTGACTTTGAGATGGAGCGCTTCGAGGTGCTCGGCGTCCCTTTCAGCCTGCAGCTGTGAGTCTGATTATTTCTTCTTTTTCTTGATTATTTATTTAATCCGCTCGCTGTGACTATGCTGAGTTTTTGCTCTGTTACAGTTGGGACACTGCGGGCCAGGAACGGTTCAAGTGCATCGCTTCCACTTACTACAGAGGAGCTCAGGGTTCGTCCGGCCAGATTTTTCAAATATATTAAACAGGAAATGGGTATTGGAAAAAAATTCATACGGGCTTCAAGTCAAATGTTCTTCTTTCCTCAGTTGTGATAATCGCGTTTGACGTGAATGACATTGCCTCTCTGGGCCACGCCAGGTAAGCCCTCTGATTATGAGGGTGTTGCTGGACTCATGATTTCTTTCTCGCTGGGTTTGATGTCCTCCCATGTTTCACTGCTGCAGGCAGTGGCTGGAAGACGCCTTGAAAGAGAACGACCCCACCAGCGTTCAGCTCTTCCTCGTCGGCACAAAGAAGGACCTGAGTGTGAGTCTCAGCGCTGTTTAAAGTGGACACTGCCTATGGATGTGTTATGTTGTTGTTTTTACTGGAATTGCTTGGGTCAACATCAGACACACACACACACACAAACACCCCCCCACACACACACACACACACACACACACACACACACACACACACACACACACACACACACACTGTTTATGTTCTTCTTCTGGTTGAAACCTCAGGAATGTTTCGTGCTCCTCATGAAAAACCCCAAAAGATTTTCTGACTGCGGCAGGAATATTGGCTGTTTTTGAGATGAGTCTGAGCTCTTCAACTTTCGCCTGATTCCCGTAAAAGTTCCACTTTTATTTTGCCGCTAGTGGTGAATTATAGATGAATTGTGTCGTCAATCTTTTAAAATTTTATACATAATTTGCACAGATATGTGGCGAGTCCTGTATTCTCATAGCACTCATCTAGTTACATTGCATTGCAGGAGTTCTAGGCAAGTTCTCCACTCAAGAAACATTACTGGTAGATAATATCAAATTATCTACCAAATACAAACAATTATATATATTCAATTAATTAGGATAATATTAAAAACTTCATTTATTTGATTGCTATTTTCTTCTCTCTTATTTGACTTTTTTATTTTTTGATCTCCACTACGAATCAGAATACTTTTTCTTTAATAAAGTTTAAATTGCATTGAATTGAATTGACACATATTTCAGTAAATTAATTTACCAAGTAACAAACATCTTATATAGATTAATAAAACAGACTGGTGGTTTTTATCCCTTACGTTTTGTTTCTGTTCACAACTAATGAAACATAACATTTGATATTAGAATATCACACAGACCAACAATTTAACAATAATATTATTAATCATATAGAAACATTGACCTATAAAAAGTATTTTTAATTCCTCCTTGAACGTTGCGATTTTGAAACAAATAAGCCTTGTTGGAACGCATACTGTAGCTTTTTAAATGTGACTGCACGCATTTCAAATGAAAATGAACACGCTTTTCGTACGCATTAGAAAGCAGTCTCTGGTTTCTCCTGCCATTTCAAACAGTCTCCTGCTCAGTATTCCCGGATCGAACAAGACGCCATGAAGTTTGCGAGAGAGATTCATGCTGAGTACTGGGCTGTCTCATCGCTGACGGGTGAGTCGACACGTTTCATCTCCATGTCTGACACGCCACCTTTGTATACACAGCTCGCCTGTCATTCGCCTGTCATTCTCTGTATGAATCATAAAGTGGGATAAAAATATGCTCCACTCTCCCAACGTGACAGAAGGTAGACATGTGGGTTAACACGAACATAAAAGTATTTAAAATATATGTAGTTTTTTGTTTAGCATAATGTGTGGCTGACAATAAGTAAAATAGCTTGATTTTTTTCCAAGTCAAAAACCAACTAGCATCTATGATAGGCAACAGTTTATAATGTATTCAAAGTCAATTTAGTAATAAAACCTGAGTTAAGTTTGCTAGTAATCATGCTAACTGTGTAGCTTTTATGCTAGTAGTTTAACATTCTGACTGCTTTGTGGGTGAAAAAGCACAACTTTCTATGAACAGCGAATCATCAGCACTTTTTCCTCTGTCATACTGAGTCTTGATTAAATGTTATTGATTCATTTAATAAACTGATTTTGGAAATTATTTTGGAAGTTAGAGCAATGAAACGGTGGTTTGTTTGTGTCATACAATGCCGGAGCCAATGGTTAGTACAGATAAATTATTAAATATGAACAGATTCGCAATAGCAGGAGGGAAGGTCAAAGAAAAATGATGATCCACGGGCAGAAAATAATTGATAAACACTGCATTACAGAGTGGTAACCGTCTTCGCACTACAGAAGAAGACGGTTTCTTCTGCAGTAGAAGAAGAAACCGTCTTCTTCTGCATCCACAGTCTTTTTTACGTTGACCATCACTTAGCATCCTTAGCTTAAACGCGAACGTCATTTCTGACACTTTAAGGCTTCTGCCAAAAGCAATTTTAAAAAAATATATAGAAAATTAGGAATAACATTTATTAATAAATAATATTGATAAATATTATGGATGAAGTTTGACTTAGCCACTCCAGTGGTTTCCAGCTAGCCTCTATCAGATCTCTGGTCGCTTTCCTTCAGGGGAAAACGTCAAAGAGTTCTTCTTCCGAGTCGCCGGTTTGGCCTTTGAGACAAGCGTTCTCGCCGAGTTGGAGAAAAGTGGATCGAGGCAGATTGGCGACGTTGTCAGTGAGTATGTGAACTGTCTCGAGAAGTCAAACAAACGTCCCACAAGTTAACACTCTTCTTTGTTGTTTGGCGTTTAGGAATCAACAGCACTTCAAGCAATCTGCACGCCACAGCAAAGAAGAAGCAGGCCAACTGCTGTCAGTAAGCGTAGGATAAATGTTTAAAAAAAAAACACACACACACACAGACTGACTGAGACTTTTTCTCAGCGGTGGATGAGTGTGGCTGCTGTCCAGCTTAGTTGGGAGAATTTCTGTGGTCAGAAAAGGAGGGGAGCATTTTATGGCATGTTTACAGTCTGTATTATTATTATTTTTTTTCCTGACCAGCAGGAAAAGTGAGGATATTTGTGGTGGACTTTAACACAGAGCGATAGTGCTGCCATCAAACTGCCAAAGAGTTTTCGGATGCTTACTCGGCTTATAGCTCCAGTTTTGCTGCTGTAGAGTTTTTCAGAATCAATTTCTTATTGCGTTTTTAGCTCAAACATATTGGTGAAGTTTTGATTGTTTTTCCCAACTAACACTTTTTAGGTCATTACTTCTTCCCCTCAACTCCTTCGTTGGCGTTTAGATGTTCTGGCACCTTGATAAAAATGTGTAAATCATCTTAGTATGAATCTACCTTTTAAGGCTGTGGCACATTTTCATACTGAAAAACTTACTAAATCCAACCTTTAATTTAAGTGCAATTGTTATGAGGGTGAATTGCAATAATAATGCAATAATTTAGAAGTTTATAATAAGTTTAGGTTTTTCTTTGTAGCTTAGTTTGATTTTGTTGTGACTTTAGTCAGTCTTCAGAGTGTGTTGGCTAGTTTTTCTTTCTGTGATTTGCCAACAATTGAAACAAAACACTAAAATGAAGAATTCCTCTAATTTCATTATGTTTAGTTACTTTTATAAACAAACAATATAGTTCCAGTTGGTTATGGTTTTTCACCATCACTTCTTTCAGTTAGCAGAAAAATTATTTCTCAATCTCAGTGTTCTTTATTTTGTTAGATTTTTGTTAACTGTAATAACCTTGACATAAAAGTCTCGTAAGAATAAAACCTTCATAGGCGCAACAAAAATATAAGACTTGTGATTAATGTGTTTAAGGCCAACTTACACTTTCTTAAAGTCATTTAAGACGTCGCAAAGGATGTGTGAACACCCCGACCCCCAGAAGAAACAGTAATGGTAACACAAACACTAACATGACACTGTCATAATCATAACATAACACCTGTCTTGATGATGAAGGACTCTGAAGTATCATCTGGTAAATTATGACACTTTCAATGCAAAATTGACCATTTTAATGTACTTTTCAGGCAAGTTATACTGCAACTTCTCATTAAAAGTGTGATTATGTACCTAATGACACTTCGTGACAACGGTTGTAGACATTCATGAAGACTCTTTTATCATCATGACAGGTGTTATGTCATAATTATGAACTGTCAAATAAAGTATTACCCAAACAATGTTATTTTTAACAATATTACACAATGTCAAATTATTATGAGGCTTGTTATTTTATTATTACTGCTCTATATTCTTTACCCTTCACAGAAAATGTGCTCACATTAAAGGTTGGATCGGTTTGAGATTATGCTACTACAATAAAAGTTGCCACAAAGGTGCATTACTGTCGTTTCAGCCTGAAGCTGCCATTTATTACAGAGTTGGGTTAGGAATCCTGATGGGTACGTTTTACGTTACTTTCTGTCAAATCAGTGACTGAATTTTGTTGTAGCGTCTGCATTGGCTAGTCGTTGCTGTTTGATCATTAAGTGTTTCATCTTTTTCGTTTTATTTCATGCCAGTACGACAATCATGTCAAATTATTTTAGTTAGTAAAAAAAATAAAGATTAAACCTACTACGTCACAGTATCTCTATGCAAATTAAAGCATTTCACGTAAAATGCGTCTTAGTCGTTTTCGCTGATGGTCGCCTCTATTTGGTGAAGCTCTTGAAAGAGTCCAGGTGTTTCCCGTCCACTTGGCTCTGCAGCCCTTCTGGGATGCAGTGGGAGAACTTGTAGTTTTCCTTGATCCACTTCCCTCCCGCCGTGTTCTCGATGGCCACGGCTGCCACACCTGCACAGCAGACGGGGAGACAAGTCCAAAGTCAGCTGTCAAGCTCTGATTGGTCAACGAGGTCCCCACGCCGGCTGACCTGCGACCGTGGCTCCCAGGTTCTCCACCAGCCGGATGGCGGCCATCATTGTGCCGCCCGTCTCTATCCACTGGTCCACCAGCAAGACCCTCAGACCTGCCACAGAACATGTCCAAAAGGATCTTCAGTTTTGGCATTTGAAGGACAAGTGTGGTCAAAGTGCAGAACCTGGACCAATCTTTTGCTGGACCAGAATTCAAGAATAGATTAGGACTGCAACTTTTAAATCAAAATCTACATACAAAAATGTTAGATGAACCACAAAGTGATTCATCTAACACTTTGTGTTTCACTCTTTGACTTGTATTCTAAAAAAACACCTCGGTGTATCTGAATTTACATTTCAATTGTGTTTTCAAATGAAGACTGACCTGCATGGGTTTAGTTGCTGAGGACAGAACTATTTTTTTTTCTGTTTTCCAGACCCCAAAATTAAAAGAAACCTGGAAGCCTTTTGTTCACAAGAAAAACATACAGAAACCATTTGAGGTTTTGGATCTACAGTCTTGTTCCTATGACAAAAAAAGTTTAATTAAAAAACAACAATTCATTTTAAAAATCATATTTCATTTGGCCTGCAAGTATGATTTTGGCCCAGTCCTGGTGTAGAAAAACTACATTAGGTCAAGTGTTGCAAATGAAAGGTTTTGATTTATTGATTGTCAACAAGTTAGAGGTTCACACACATAAAATAGAAATAATTCAGTAACTAACTGACATCAAACAAGACGTTTCCTCTGACTTGTCTGTGGTAAATGTAAACTGCAATACACTCTCACCGTCAGTAGATGGCACTGTGTTGCAAAGAACAGCATGAGTCCAACTTATCCTTGGTTATGGAATAAAAATGTAAATATCTCAATTCCTTTAGTGCTTTTAAATTTGTAGTTATGAAAAGACATTGAGGTGAAACTCGGACTTCACTTTTTACAGTTTCGCCGCCATTTTTTAATGATGACTGAACTTCGATTTATTGCGACCACCACCGATTTTTTTTCTTACCCTAACAATCATCAAATAACGCTCATTAGTTTTTAATGTTCCCTTTAGCTTTAATATGGTCACATAAATGACAGAAAACGATACATAATAAAGCTTTCCTTTCATTTTGTAAGCAGTTGTTTATTGTTTTTTTGTGAAACAATGCTCATTTGACATTACTGAACTGATTTGGTTAAATATTAAATCTTTTAGTTGTCTTTTTTTCTAAACATTATTCTAAGAAGTGATTATGTAACTTAAGTGAAATGTGATGATTAACCTGGTTTCAGCACATCCAGTCTTACTTCCATAGTCTTTTCTCTTCCTGTGTAGTCTGTGTAGTTCTGGTTTTGGGTCGCTACACACAGATGACCCGCTTTACGAATGGCCAGGAAACCTTTTCCAAGAGTCGTGGCGACAGAAGCCCCTTTGAAAAAAAAGAAAAAGAAAGAAAGACGGCAGACCCTCACAGTCACACCATGTGTGAGAGACAAGTTTTATATTAGTTATATCTAAATTTAGCATTGCACCCTGAAGGGTCACGTTTCCCCGTCTTCTACAGTCACACAGTAGCAGCCGTTCTGAATGAGCTCGCTCTGAACTGTGTTTGCTTTCCCTCCCCTCTTCCCCATTCAAGATAAACGACTTTGTTTTCTCACCAAGAATAAATCCCATGGCGTCGATCCCGGCAACCAGGTCGACGGGGTCACTGTGAAACGGACCCAGAAGGTCTTTGACGCAGTCTGCCAGAGCCTGGATCAGATCCAAAACGACAGGGAGAATTCACACCATGCAAAGCGTTAATAAACCACCAGCTACAGACCACAGCGCATGCTGTGTCTCTCTTATCGGACCTGCGAGTTGCAGTAGAGTCTGGACGGGTCCAGCCAGGCGAACTCTGGTCCTTTTGTGTTGGGGGCCATAAGTGAAAGGTACCATCCTTTCTGGCGGTCTGCGGGAACGTCCAGAAGGTCCATCTGAAGTAGCTCTGACGCTGCGGTCTGTGCAGCCAGAGGGAGAAACTTGGGGAGGAAAACCAGCCGGACTGGGAATGAGATCAGATTCCAGAGGGGTGACTGGGGCTGGTGGGTGGGACTGGACTCTGTCACAGACTCACTAATATGACTAAAGAAAATTGACTTTGTAATTTATCGCCTTGAAATTGGGCCTTTGTCTTTTAGAAGCTCCTTTTTCTGAAACTGCCTTCAGGAAGTCATCACAACATAGGACATTTCCATGTTTTTTCTAGAAAATTTATATGATTATGATTGAAATTTTGGATTTTTTAATTTTATTTTGGAGCTCAGAGATGTTTTGGAAGAAATGTATTCATTTTTTCCCCTTTGTGTGTACAAAATCCCTAATACAGAAAAAACATACTTCTTTAGAACAAATCTACAAAATATAAAATTGCATCTTCCTGTGTCTTCCTGGCAGCAGCCAGTCACTGCATGTTGGCATTTTGGATCATTTCGCTCGGCTTGTTTCGCTACATTTAGTGCAAGACCTTCGATCTCCCCAAATCCAAACCACTGTCTGTTTTTTTCAAAAACTGTACAGAGCAGATTAACAAAGATAAATAAATAGAAACATAAATACACCATGCGGTGGTCACCTAACGAGCCGTCAGAGCCGTTTCATGATGAACCCGATGTTTTCCCTCAGGGCGATGAGTCGCTTGAAGCATGTACATCAATATCCATAGTAGCAGTACAAAACAAGAATGTCAAACTGATATTTTCCACTGTTCTATTACAGTTGCTGTGACAGACAATATGCATCTTTCCTCAAATGTATTTGCATAGCTATGGTTCCTTTTTGTAAAGTTTATAACAACAGATATTGCATAAATTTATGTTTACTTGGAAGTCTGCCTTATCGATTGGAAAATTATTATTTATTTATTAGCTTTATTTTTAATTTCTTGGTTTGATGTTTTGCAGGTTTTTCAGTCAAATATGACAACTTGTATGTGTTGATCATGGTTGCTGAAAGAAAAAAAAAAGAACTTAAGTAAGGCTAATTTTATGTAAAGTAAAACATTCTGGAGGGAGTTTTCAGCCTGCATGACCGGACTGTTGAACACTAGACTCTTTGTTGTGTCCCTGTTATGAATCAGAGGGCAACCGGGACCATGGGAGAATCGCTTCATTCAGGACTTTCATGAGACTTGCTAATAAACTTGGCTTTGTGCTCTTTTGGATGTCCGAGTCTATCGCTTCACCTTTAAACCCCGCTGATAGGCCAGAGATTTCAGATGTGAAAACAACTTTGACTTTCAGCTGACTCCATCCAAAACCAAAAAGGAGTCTTCAAACCTTGTTGTCTTCCGCACATGTTGTCACGTTACATCCACAAAGTTTCAAGTGTTTTGCGGGTTGTTGGACTCTGGTACTTGGCTGGTTGGAGTTTTTACCCGCAACACTGGGATTCTTTGACTCAGCAGGTAACGTCTTATTGGAGCCAACCAAATCACATGTGAGGTACCCCAAGGCTCCATCTTGGGGCCCCTGTTGTTTCACATCTACATGACTATAAAAGTAGCAAGGTAAGTGAGTATAATTGATACAAAGCTCTACGATGTCACCAAGTGAATATGAGTAAATGCATTGAATAAATAAATGTGTTAAAGGCATCTTGGGTTGCTGATGCTATAACATTAAATTAATATAAAACAGCTCAGCGTTTTTTACAGTCATCTTGAAAACGTTCTGATAACATTTGCCCGAGTATTCAATTTCTCCCTCCTCTTCATCACTGGTGGATGACGACGTGCTCAAACCACGCCCCCTGCCGTCCTTTGAGGATCACCACGGTCGCTAAGCAACCCATGGTCTGCACATGTTGCAACTGACCCGACTGTCACCTTTTCTTCCTTCCTTTCTCTGTGTGTGAGAAATGCAACCACACCTTGGGGCGCTTCTGCCGCGACGCCATCTTGGATATTTTGTGCCTCAAAAATCCTCATATTGTGTTTTCCTCCCTCTTCCCTCGTGCTGGTTTATCATTGGAACCTGTTCATTTAATTACACAACTTGGTTTTATGGGTTCATAATCTGATCTCGCGCAGAAAGAACGTTCAGGCGCAGTGTATGTTTCTATGGTTACAGAGCTAAGTAGACCACGTGACGGTGGAGGCGTTAATCTCACGCGGGGCATTCGGTAAACAAGTCTTGTCTAACACGCATGCGTGTAGTAAGGTTTGCGCGCAGGAGGACTACGTCACAATGGATTATGACGTGAACAATGATTAAAGGCGACTTACTGCTAGTTTCAAGTGAATGAAGTGTCATTCCGAAAAGAGAAGCCCGGTGAGTAGAACATCGCATCTTTACAGAAAACCTTGAAAAATGGCCGAGTCAAACGAGCAAGCGAAAAGAAACATCCACATTTCCATCGACAATTTGGAGGACATCGTCTTACCTCGTTTAAACACACTGTCACCAGAACACTGGACCTTGATTTCACAGGGCTTAAAGGATTCACATATAACAGGCGTCATGTCTGACATGCTGAACAACATTTTCCAGCAATGTGTGGAGAATTCATTGACTCTCCTGGTGCCAATAATGGATGAAAGCGTTGAGCCGGGCATGAAGGGTGAAATTCCAGAGGAGGACATCAGTGTGCATTTGCTCAACAAGATTTCCACAGAAATGGCCTGCGTCCTGGAGGTGCCACCACAGATCTGCGACCATGGCACGGAGTTAAACTCGTTGATGGAACAGGAAGTGTCTGAAAAAGTGACATCCATCGCAAATAGCATCAAAAAAACAGCTAGTGTTTCTGAATCACCTGTGGTATTGGCGACTGGCTCCATGTCAAACCCGAAAAATTTGAACAAAATGGTTTCCAACACATCTCAGTGTCTCCGAGACCATATTAACATAGTCACGTCGAGCTCCTGCTGTCCCTTCGCAAAAAAGCAAATCTCAGGCGAACCTACAACCAAATCAGAAACTTTTGAGCTTTCAGACAGAAGAGTTTCTGCTGGTGAAAAATCCATCCTTTCTGTGCCCTCACGTCGTGAAAGCGTCACTGAAATATTACAGAGATATCCAGACACTTCAGGCATCAGAAGAGGTACAGGCGATGACGCGGGAGCTTCTCCGTCAACGGATGCTTTCAAAGTGAATCAAGTTGCAGATGTAATCAGCAAAAGAATTATCGACGATCGCCACTACCGTAAGGCCGAGGGTGCAGTTGCACAAATGGATCCGCACTGTCCGTGTGCACCTCTTTTTAACTTTATCAGGAATCGTTTCCTGTCAAAAGGCAAAGCTGATCTTGCGAGAAAAGATGAAATAGTCAGAAAACCAGAGTTTTCCAGATTTGCCAACGACCAGTTCAACCGCTTGGTGTCGTCTTTGGAGACCTCGGTCAAGGATTCAGGTAGCCCAACCAAACTGATGTTCCCTGGAGCTTTGTCAGATCAGGAGAGGGTGAAACTACTGGACCACGTCAAGACGGACCAAATCCCTAAACTAGATTTTCAGTCCATCAAACCTCAGATTCAGAGGCTGTGTGCAGAATCCATTGAAAACCCCCAGCTAAAGGACAAGATCAAGCAGTTTGAAATAGAACTGACAGAAAAAATATATACTGATATCATAAAGAGCCATTATGATTCACTTCCTGTTCCTCCACAAATTCCGTCAGATTCTGACCTCTCTGACGAGAAAATAAGCGACATATCCGGCCAGACGATGATTTCCCCTGAAGATTTCTGCGCCAAAATAGAAGACGAAGTGAGGAGATTTCTCCAGAACATCTTTCTTTGGATCAAAAACAAGGAAACACGTGATATAAAAGAGACCGACAGGGTGTCTAACGTGATGTCGGAAATCAGTGACATAGTTGGACAAATATCCGACATGTCGAACCAACTCCCGAGACCCATGACCCATGAGGCAGAAAGGGACTTCACCGCAGCCGTCCCAAGTGAATTGAAAGAGCAGCCTCAAACTCAACTTCCTTTAAAAATGGACATTGACTCCTTGATTCCGACAGAGAAGTATCTCCCCAGGGCGTCACTGAGCGGTTGGTTTCCAGTATCAGGTTTTCGAAATATGTCAGTTGTCAGTGCAATCCCGATCCAGGAGCTGAAAACTGAAACCCCAGCGCAGAGGATGAAAGAACTAGAGGAAGGCATGGCGTGCTTTGTGATGAGGACAGTGTTAAGCTGTTCCGAGGAAAACGGTGGGCCCTTGAAGTCTTCTGACATGAAGAAAATCTTGTACTACCTGTCTGGGGAGCACATAGAGGACATCACAGACTTTGCCATCAGCAAAGACAATGAAAACATTAAACATTTTGTTCGAGACCTCTACACCAATCTGAAAAGCCACTTTGGTTCTACTGAAAACGTGTGGAGGGCCGCAACACTGCACGGCGGCCGTCCATTTAAGGGTGCCGTAATATCATATTTAAAAAGCTACGTTCAAACCGTACCCTCAAAAGGTCCGGTTCACAAGTTCTTTTCGGCAGTCAGAAAACCTTTCAGGAGTTTCTGCGGACAATAGAGAGGCTCTTCTCTATTGTCCGCCAGTGGAGCGCAGACTACAATCCCAGTTAACACAGCTAACATTACTTCTTACATTGAGAAATAATTAGCCATTTGATGACAGACTAGACAGAATTCCAGAATAAACACTCATAAACCTGTCATTTATTTCATATTTTAGGTCTGGGCATCAAAATGAACAATCACAGCCTGGCCTTTTATGTCTGGAGTCTCACAGTTCCGATTTTCTAATTGGATATTCTAAATGTTCCCCTGTGGCAGAAAGGTCAACCCTAAAAAGAACGGCTGCCGCTTGTACACCTGTGGTCTTAAACTTTAGGTTTTCACCGGGTTCTCCGGTTTTTCCTTTTTAAAAACCATTCGTGTAATCTAACTGAATGTTCAATTATAGTTATTATTATAACTATAATTATAGTTATAATAACTTATTTTAAGTTATTATAACTAAGTTATAATAACCTAATTATAATAGTTATAATTAAGTTATAACTATGTCATCTTATAACTTCTAAGTTATTATAACTTAGTTATAATAACTTATTATAATTAAGTTATAATATCTTCATTCTAATAGTTACAATTAAGTTATAACTATGACTTAGAAGTTATAAGTTGTCATAACTTGTAAGTTATTATAATTAAGTTATTATAACTTAGTTATTGTTATAACTAAGTTATTACAATAACTTAGTTATAATAAGTTATTATTATAACTTAGTTGTAATAAGTTAGTTATTTTAACTTAGTTATTATTATAACTTAATTATAATAAGTTAACTTAGTTATAATAATTTAGTTATGAGTTAGTTATAATATAACTTAGTTATAATAACTTACTTATAAACTATCATAACTTATAATAACTTATAAGTTATTAGTTATAATAAGTTATATCTTATAACTTCTTATAACTCTTGTAAGAGTTAGAAGAGTATCATAATTGTTATAACTCCTAAAATATTGTTAGAATTAGTTTGTGATTGATTTTCATGTTTCATTTGTGTTTGTATTTTTTTCAATATCTTTGTTTGTTTACTTAAATCGACCTGTATGTTGATTTTTTTTTTTAAGTTTTTGGCTCATGTATCTATATTTGTGATTTTAGATTTAGGATATTGGTAATATTTCATTCGATTTTTAACTTCCTCTAATAATTAAGTGGATTCAAGCTACCGCTATAATTTACTTAGACATAATTGTCTGCTAACATTTAGCTAGATGCTAACTGCTGCTAACACTTAGCCAGATGGATAGCATTAAGGTATATAGTAACTCCTACTAGCAATTAGCTAAAGATTATAGGCTGATGTTATATAGCTAGATGTGCACTCTGCTAACATTTAGCTCAATGATAGCTACTGTTGACATTTGGATGTTAAGATTCATAGGAGAGATCCAAGTAATGTTAACATTTAGCAAGATGTTATTAACATTTAGCTATATAGTCACTTCTGATAACATTTAGCTAGATGTTAAATGCTGCTGAAATTTGTTTCTGTCTTGCATCTGCGCTTGCTGAAGTTGGACCACAGACTGCAAATAATAATAATACAAAAAAAAAAAAGATCTCAAAGCCTCCTTCATGCATACCTGGGGTTATTATTGTAATACCTGCTTTAAGCCGCTGCTGCCAGAGAGGATCCATTTCTGAGAAAACTGAAGTGGAGTTCACCTCACTGTAGCCACAACCTGACCCTGCATCTCCATGTATTCACGTTATATTTCACCAGGAGTTTTATTGTTTTTCAATAAACTCATATCTGAAATTTCATCCCAGGTTTCAGAGCTCGGAGCTCACGCTGAGTGCTGACGCTTCAGTCAGCAGCTGAGACATTTTCCCACAGTCAGACTCATGTGTGGCTTGAACCAAACGACCCCACAATGAATTGTGTAGTAAATATTATGGCTATATGGATTTATTGCCTTAGAGTGAACAATCTTTCATATTTAAGTATGTCCTCACTTTTATGAAATGAGGTGCTCCGCAGTGAAAAAGAATGCGTGCAGTTTGATCCCATTTTATGAGGCGTTCGAGGCCTTGCCTTTACAAAATGCAAACCGACTGTCACATAATGCAACAGACGTTAAAAGACATTGAACTCGTCTCACCAAAGGAGGTAAAAACAGGAGGAGAAAAGCATATTTTTGCACCAAACGCCTCTGGCTCACGCCTGCATTTCATAAGCATATGTTACCCTGTTCTTCCATTACAGTACTTCCGGTACCCAGGTACCGGTACCCGGGTACCGGAAGTACCCATTTGGGAAGTATGGAGGTGCCAAATGAAAGAAGAGGGGGCTCACACCAAGCATGTTACGCGTGTCAAAAACACGTCTGACGCTTCAAGTTCTATGCGTGTGGACTTTTGATGCGTTCACACGACTCGCGTTTTGAGCGTAAACATTCTGTAAACATTCAAAGACGTTAACAGTCTTTGAATGTAAACGTCTGGTTTACATTCAAAGTCTATGTGGAACATCGACCGTGTAGGACCCGCTCGACCAGACGAGTCCAGACACTGAAAAGGCGTTTGGTGTGAACCCACCAT